GGTGGTATTTGCTGGTTCTCTGAACTACTCAAAATTTCCGCTACCGGTTCTCCAGAACCTGTCAGAACCTGCTGGATTTCACCCCTGAAAACTGGCTATAGTGGATGTTGGAAATTAGCCCACTTTTATTTAGTTGAGTCACGGTGTTCAAATGACACAGTTGACAAGGGGAGGAGTTTAATCCAAAATAAATTCAGGACGGTTTGGGGGGTAAGGCTAACCTCTCCTGCACCGCCGCTAGTTAAATGATGATGTTTGCATAAGGTGTGTACTTGAGGGTGCGCTAATTGAGTGGGTTATGTGACTTGGGTCAAAGTTGGTTTAAAAATGTGGTGGTCCTTTCCACGTGACCCTTCATTGGGTGCACATAATCCATCTGAACAATTTCCATGCAGATTAACACTCACAGGACAACAGTTACTTTGGTAACAGGCAAACCATCCAAAGGTCAACTTGCTCTGTATAGCCTGGCCCAATGCAGTGATAAAGTGCCCCCCCAGAGACTGGACCATTATTAGGGGAGTTTACTGGGTAGTAGATGAGCAGCTTTGTTTCTTTTTCAGAAAGTCAGCAGACTGTCACTCTAAGCCAAAGCTATGATTGCCTGGCTCCTTATTTCTTCCAGAATGCCTTCGTGCTTTGATTTAGGAGTCATTCTGGAAAAATGAAGATGGATGATAGCCACAGCTTTGGCATCTGCTTTGCTTCATAGTATACTGCTTGCATCAATAATTTTTTTTTAAAAGGATGACGAGATTTTTTTTTTTTTAAAAAAGCTAGGTTTTCCATCTTTGGCATTTCTCCAATGAATGCTAAGTGCCTGTTAATAACAGAAGAATTCCCTAATGCTGGCTTATCTGGCCCAGCTAGACTAATAACAAATGACTTTGAAAATTGATTCAGCCATCATGCTAAGGCAGAGGTTGCTTAACCATGCCCTTGTTGGAAGAAATATCCAAGCCGGGAAAAAGACACTGGAAACATGGAGGATGATCGGAAAGATTGTTTAATGATGAAGCAGAACCACCAAGCACATGGTTCTCTGGTGCAGCTGAAGACATGGAGTTGAGAGTGAGGGGTTTTTAATACTTTCTCTTGGGCTTTGCACTTGAGCTTCCTATTCCTGTGCAAGAACATGTATTCTATTGGCTATTGTAGGGGTCATAGCTAGCTGTATAGGTTATCTGAGTTAAGTTTGGTGGGTGAGGCAATGTCCTTAGGAGATTGTGCAATGCAGTGAGCTTTGTTGCTAGATGGCAGTGGGTTAATCCTATTACGTCCTGGAGGGTCATCTCTTAATCCCATCACCCAGGAGCTGAAGGTCTTTTGTTTTGTAGATAGGCTGGCCCAGTCCTGTTGGGGCTATTAAGAAAGACTCGGGGGCTGCTTTCTGTCTTTAAAAACATGTTTCTCCTTTAGGGAAATATAATATTCTGCCTTTTTAAAAATATTTCTCAAAATATTTCATTCTTCTAGGAGGGGTGGCTTTCCTCACTCTGTTGCCTGGATGTCCTCACACGATGTACTGAATTTGGGGTTTCTATCAGTGGTGAAATTCAATTTTTTTTACTACAGGTTCTTTGGGTGTGGTGTGGTGGGCGTGGTGTGGTTTTGTGGGCATGGTTTTGTGGGCATGGCAGGGGAAGGATACTGCAAAATCCCCATTCCCACCCCACTCTGGGACCTGCCAGAGGTGGCATTTGCTGGTTCTCTGAACTACTCAAAATTTCCACTACTGGTTCTCCAGAACCTGTCAGAACCTGCTGGATTTCACCCCTGTTTTCTATCATCATGAGATACAATTTAAAAAAGCATTGAGATGTACCTTTAATTAGTTAACTATCTCCCTAAGATGCATACATTTGGGCCAATGTATAGCAGATGATGATTCCTCCAATGGTATTCTGAAAATGTGAACTCTCAGTAAACAAGGGAAATAATGATGACATTATCTGGGAAGAACAAGGAGCTTAAAGCTGTAAAGAACATAAGGAGATAATAGAATATTTCTTTCCTAAAACATAGCTATGATCTTACACTGCAGACTGCCTTTTCTTTCTAGAGTAGCACTCTAAGAAGTGTGATGGTAAAAAAAAAAGAAAGAAGAAGAACATTTCTTTCTTGTGTGTTTCTAAGAGATCAGAGTGAAAGGAAAATGCAGTGAAAAGGCTGTATTTTGTAATTCACTTGAGCAACCAGTGTGGCAATCAGGATCAAAACCTGATCAGGACAGGACTTACCTAACAACATGCTTTTTGGATGAGATATGAAACAGAGTGGAGACTAAGCCAAAAAGTCACTGTATTCCCCCCCCCTTTTTTTTTTCCAATTGAAATACTCAATGAGAAGCTACTTGTAAGATTCATCAGTGGTTTTGTAGCTGGAAAATGTTTCCTTTTTTTTTTACTCATTAAAATGGTTGCATGCTATTACAATCGCCAATCAGGAGATTTAACTGGGTTAGCAGCCAAGTGGGTTATGCACCTTGTGAGAATGGGGTCAGCGGAAAGCTGTCCCTGATCCTGAAAGCCTTTAAAATGTCACTTCCACATGTTCCTGAGCTTCATATTTGAAGATGTCACATGAGTCCCTCTAGTGGTCAACTGTGGAATTAAATTACAATGGAGAAGGCCATCCCTCTCTGAAGCATTGCCACTCTTTCTACCTTCCTGTGAAATCCCTAAGCGAAGCCAGTGTGAGATGTAGCTCCCTTCCCTTTTCTGGTTTCAAGGCTAGGAATGGCAATGCCAGCAAACTCCCGCTCAGCAGCACAGGAAAGGGGAAGGAATTGATGGGGTGGCTGCAGTGGTGGGTTTCAAAATCTTTTACTACCAGTTCTGTGGGTGTGGTTTGATGAGTGTGGCATGGCTTGGTGGGCGTGGCTTGGTGGGCGTGGCAGGGGAAAGATACTGCAAAATCTTCATTCCCACCTCACTCCAGGGGAAGGTTACTGCAAAATCCCCATTTCCTCCCGATCATCTGGGACTTGGGAGGCAGAGAATAGATGGGGGCAGGGCCAGTTCAGAATTTTTACTACCGGTTCTCCGAACTACTCAAAATTTCCGCTACCGGTTCTCCAGAACTGGTCAGAACCTGCTGAAACCCACCTCTGGGTGGCTGGCTTCCTTTCTTAAGTTGGGTTTGACCAGGACCCTTCCATAATAATAGAGTTGAAAAGGGACCTTGGAGGTCTTCTAGTCCAACCTTCCACTAAGCCACTGGACCCATTTAATATTTGGAGTAGTTCCTATGGCTTCCTATTGGCATTGTTTATTTAGCTGCTCAACAGCACATCTAGTGTGGGGGAAAGAGCTTCTCCTGCATCTTCTCTACCCATTTTCATTTAATCTGCTGAAAGAGTATTTGCTTGGTAAACATTTTAGGAGAGAATTTGGTAAAATTCTAGAGCAGGGGTGTCAAACTCAAGGCCCAGGGGCCGGATCTGGCTCATGGGGTGCTTACATCTGGCCTGTGGGGCTGCCCAGGAAACAGCAAAGGACCAGCCCGCGGTGCCTCTGCCAGTGAAAACGGAGCTTGGGAGGGCTTCAGGCAACAGAGGTCACGAGACCATTTTCGCTGGCAGAGCACTCAGGCTACCACAGGCACCCCCAACACAAGTTACGTTGAGCTAGCCATGCCTACCCTGGACATGCCCACCCTGGCCTCCCAAGATCAAACACAACCCTGATTTGGCCCTCAATGAAATTGAGTTTGGCACTCCTGTTCTAGAGCCATGTTTCTCGTCCTTGGCTACTTTAAGTTATGTGGACTTCAACTCTCTGGAAGTCCAATGGCCCAAAGCCTTTCTGGTTTCCCACATTTCTATTCATTTGAAAGGGGGAGAGGTATATAATGAGAAATGCAAACCTAATCTTGAATCATCAGCTATTTCTTGCACTCTGGAATGTTTGGAGAAAACCATGCCAGGATTATAATACTAAAGGTGGAGGAACTGGAGCAGATTCAGGGTCCAATTTCAACACCTCTCTTTTTCTTTCCAACCATGAATGCTCTATATTGTCAGAGCCTGAAAATGCTTATTTAAATCCTCTTCCAAGTTTCCTTTGTTCATAATGAACCAGAAGCTTTTGATGCCATTGTTGATATATCTGTCCTCCAAGAGCAAAGACACACAACAGCTATCCAGCCTCTGAAGATAGAAACTTGGCAATAAAGAGACAACTCAGAAAGTTTGGAAGACAAGATTCTGATAGTTTCAGAGATGCAATTGGGATAGTTTCTTTCCTTTGCTCCAATGCATAGGTCCCTGAATGTCCTTGCCTATGAGGAAATATAACTGGTGCCAGTTCTGTTAGTGGTGCCCAGTGGAATAGAGGTAGGGCTGGAACTCCTGACTAGGCCTTTGGATGATCTCAACTTTGGAAATTTGTTTTGACAATGCTAAAACTGGAAAGTGTGGATGAAGAAATGCCAGGATTCTTTCCCACTCCCAAGAGTGATTTGGTTTACACACTGACAAGCTATGATTTATTTAATCATTTTTGATGAAATTATCATTGGCCAGATTCACCCCACGTGCTGAACCAAAGCCATATAAAACCCTCTTATGCCTTAGTAAGAATGCAGCCAATTTATTTGTTTATGGGAGAAGCAATTGTTCAAATAGAATTACTGGCAACAGGATGGTTAACCCCCATATACTCTGAATGCCTATCAGGCTGCTGTCAAATTCCATCACGATTGCACCCTTTTGCCTCCAAGCACATTTAGCAAATACTATGGCTTGAGGAAAAGGTTGTGGTTTTATGCCAGGCTAGCATTAAGCAGTGTGGTGGTTGCTGGAATTAGAATTCCAAGCCCTTAAGGTTTCTTAGACTTTGAGGCAGCCAGCAAAATCAGCTCAGGGCAATGAGGAATGAGTGATCCATTGCATTTCTGGCTAGAACAGTCTCCCACAATCCTCCAACCATCACCCTTATCTGCAAAAGCATCTCTACCTGGTCTAAGCAGGTCTTTATAATTTCTGTATTTTATTGCAGGTGGTACGTGATCAGATCTCTCACTGCACAGTGAAGCTGCGCCAGACGACGGGGCTGATGGAATACTGCCTGGAGGTCATCAAAGAGAATGACCCCAGTGGATTCTTGCAGGTGACTGGTTTTACTTTTTTTTCTTTCCAGTTAGGGAAGTATGGATTGGCTCTTCTCATGGCTTCGCCCACTGTGAGCTGAGTAACATGTTGTGATGTTTCAAAAAGGCCCATTTCATGATGTCACAACAATTTTCTAAGGAATAGAATGGAAACTAATCAGTCCATGGTTGGGATTGTGCTGTGATCCTCTCATTCAAAATTTGTTGAGGCAAGAATATATGAAAGTGGGGGGAAGGCTGTTCAGGGTCCTTTGACAAGATAGCTTTAATGCATCTCTCCAAACACTTAAATCTATTTCCCATTGAATCCAGTGGAAGTCATTACAATTCCATCCTTATTTGCACCTCCCTGCCTGGATTAATTTTCGATTTTACAAGAAGTTGGACTCAGGGACATAAATTCTTTAAAGGGATAATACCTTGAGAAGAGAAATAACAATGGAGTTGGCTTGAGAAAATAAGCTACTTAGTCTTTTTAAGTATTTAAGATATTCTGTCAAGAATTAGATAGAATTAAAGCCATGTCCCTTTTTACCTGGGTCGTGATAGAAAAGGAGAGAGCTCCAATTGCATAATTAGGATCACCATTTTGACTTTTTTGACTCCTTCTTGGGGGATCACCCTGTTCTTTCCTCCTTGCAGTTTAGGCAAATGAATAAAATCTCTCTCTATAAATATTTTGGGGAGTGTTGCTATGGAGATTCTCAGTCATCCAGGTCATGATTATCCAAAAGGTGCTTCCCCCCCCCCCAAAAAGCAACTGGACTTTCTGCTTTTTCTTTGAAGACATTTCACTTCTCATCCAAGAAGGTTCTTCAGCTTCTTGGGGAGTGTGGCAGATCAGTAGATAATCTTTGGATGATTTGATCAGTAAAACCCTCATCAATTTTTCTGATCTCCTAGAAATCACAAAAGATACTGAGAGGCTGATATTTCATGAGAGTAAAACCCCCACAAATTAAAGCCATGGTGGCATCATGCGAGTCTATATCAATCCTTTTTAGGTTCTCCTGCATCCCATGTGACTGGTGGTAAGTGTGAAAAACAAAATGGCCGTATAGATCTTAATCTCAATTATGGACAGAATGAACAACATAGGAAAAAGTGGCTGACTATAGGGAGTTCATTTATACCTCCCCTCCTCCCCTCAAAAGTTTGGTTCTATATATGGCTAAACAAAAATCCTCAAGTCATCCCAAAGGTGCTTCTCCAGGAAAGTCCACTTGCCTTTTGAAAAGCATCTTTGGGACAACCATGACCAATGTCTTTAATGATTGAAAATCTCCATAGACATTAAGATCCTCAGGGTTAATTAGCTATGTCATAATAGGCCTATTAAGTGATCTTGTGTATGTGAATGAAGGTGTCACTGTATCTCTATCTTGCACATCTATACAGGTACGTAGTAGCTACTGTACTGATTGACTGACTGATTTCAAGCTAAGTCCTTGATGAGCTTTTTTGAAGCAGCAGGTTCTTAAAGTTTTATCCCTTTTTGGGAAATTGACATTTCCCCTAGTGAGTTAACATGATCCCAAAACATATTGGAATTGTTAGGCTTTACATTTATCTCATAATGAACAGCACCACTTACTGTATAGTGTATGCCTTTGTCATCAGTGTCTCTCTCCAATGCATAAAACCACATATTATGTGGAATGTAATCAGCTTCAATAATATCTGATCCACCATAGGTTGGCTGACAGGGAATAATGGGAATTGTAATGCATTGTATCCCCTTAGGGAGATAAGCAAGCACTCATATTGATTTATTTATTTCATTAATAGGGGCACCTAACTGAGAACTCAAATTCTCATTTAGGTTTAGGTGCAACCAGGAACATAGTGAGATTGAAAATGAGTTTTGCCTTCTCTATTGAGGTTTATGAGCCATGGTGGTTGCAATGGTTAGAATGCAGTATTGCAGGCTAACTCATTGCTCACTGCCAGGAGTTCGTGTTGCAATATTTTCAGGATCAGACTCAATAAGATTAGCAAGAGTTAAAAGGTTTAACTATATATTCTTTTATTTACAATAGGCATTCTATATTCACTGAATATTCACAGATAGAAGCAAGGGAAAGGGTGTAGGTAGCTCCTTATATATACAATGGGTGGAGCTATATGTGGGAGTGGTGAATTATGAATACATTAAGAAGTGAAGAATAAGTTAACCCCTGATACCCTGTTTGTACACTATTTACACATTAGAGAATAAGGCATTTACATCTGACAAATCCCCCTCTAAATGCCGATTCGTTATACAACACCAGTTACACTCAGATTCAGGACAATACAAAACATACAACTTAGAGGTTAAATATTTGTGCTGCTTAGAAGGTAAAGGCTTTGTCAATATATCAGCTAATTGTTCTGAAGTGTCGCAATGCACTGCTTTAATAAATCCATCCTGAGATAATTGTCTCACATGTTTAAATTTATATCTATATGTCTGGACCTTTGTCCAATGGCATCAGATCTAGATATTTCAATGGCTGCTTTATTGTCTTCATGCATAACAAAAGGCAAAGCAGGTTTTTTCCAAACATCTGAAATTAAATCATTAAACCATACGAGGTTATTTGCGGCTTTGGATAAACAAACATATTCCGCTTCTGTCGTTGAAGTGGCCACTAGTTCTTGTTTACCAATGTACCAGTAAACTGGACAGTCATTTAAGAGAAATACATAACCAGATGTACTTTTTCTGCATGAGATGTCTCCAGCCCAATCTGCATCTGCATAACACGTAAGCTTTGGTTCTTTATTATCATTAGGTTCTAACATTAAACAAAAGTCTAGTGTACTTTTTAGATATCTTAAAATTCTTTTAACAGCTTCCCAGATACATTGTTGGTTTGCTGACATGCCTGGATAATAAATTGAGTGGTAAAGCGATATCTGGTCTAGTCCAATTAGATATATAAAGGAGTGAACCTATGATTGATCTATAAAATGTGTTGTCCTTGAATTCGGGAGAAGATTCATCAGTATTTCTTAGAAAGTCAGTTTGCATAGGAGTATCACAAGGTTTGGCATTGTTTAAGTTGCATTTATTTAAAAGTTCTATGATCTTATCTCTCTGGGTAAGTTTGAATCCCCTTTTTGTCTTATTAATTTGGACACCAAGGTATTTGTTTACCTTGCCTAAAGATTTCAACGAGAAATGCTCATTTAATTTAGTTACAAAAGTTTCTCTTCTCTCTTTATGTTTTCCTATGTATAAAATGTCATCCACATAAATCAATACAAATTCAATGTAATCATCACCCCTCTTGACAAAGAAACAATTATCAGCAGTGGTAGCGTTGAAGTCCATGGTCTTAAGTACTTTTACTAAACAATCATACCACCGTTTACCAGATTGTTTTAGCCCGTATAAACTCTTGTTTAACAACCAAGTCTCATTTCTGTTTGTGTATTGACTGTGAGGTGCTCTTACGTATATTTCCTTATCTAGTTTTGCGTGTAGGTACGCAGTCTGTATGTCATATTGGAATACATCAAGATTGAGTGCTGATGCTACCACTAGAGCTGTTTTGACACTCTCTGTTCTTACAGTGGGGGAACGTGTCAGTATAGTCCTCCGGATATTTCTGTGCATAACCCTGTGCAACTAATCTAGCTTTGTATAGAGTATTTCCTCCCTCTAAATTCTTAATTTTATATATCCACCTGGTACCAATAATTGTTTTATCTTTAGGTGCAATTGCAGGTGTAAATACATTTAATCCTTGTAAACTTTCCATCTCTTTCTTCATTGCTAATTCCCATTTTTCTTTTTCTTCGCGAGGAAGTTTTAGCACTTCCTCATATGTATTGGGTGTTGTTGGTTCACCATCCATATGCATTACATAATCCTTGTATTTATTTGGCATTTGATTTCTGGTGTTTCTAATGATTTTTTCGGGTTTACTATCGTTATCATGCAAATATCTTGCTTCCTTTTTTGTTAGTGTGTCTGTCTTTATTTTGTGTTGGCTATTTGTCCAAGTCTTGGTTTTGTTTTTATTTGTTGATATTTTGCTTTTCTATAGTCCCTTTCTCATGAGGTTTTGTATCTTCATATTTATTTGGGAATATTTCATTAAGATGTAATTTAGACCAGTTGGCTTGTTCATGGAACACAGCTGTTCTGGAGACTATAAACTTGTTGTTACTATCAATGAATCTGTACCCTTTAGTGCCAGTCTCATATCCCATAAATCTGAGTCTTCTGGACACATTTTCTCCCTTTCTTCTTAATTGTTTAGGTATGTGTACGTCTGCTGTGACTCCAAATATATGCATGTGTGCTAATTTTGGTTTTCTATTATACATCACTTCATATGGTGTCTTATTTACAATGCTGGACCATGTTCTATTTTGTGTGTAATTTGAATAATGTAAGGCTTCTGACCAGAATTGTTTGCTTAAGCCAGCATCTTCCAATGTGCATCTAATCATGGTTTGTAATGTGGAATTTTTTCTCTCTGCAATCCCGTTTTGGAACGCAGAAAATGGACTAGATGTGTAATGTAACATTCCTTTGTCTTTTAACCATTGGGAGAATTCTTTAGACATGAATTCGCATCCTCTGTCTGTCATAATTTGTTTTATTTTGATGTTGTGTTGTGTTTCTATGCGTTTGTAAAATTCTTTAAATTTTTGAAATGTTTCATCTTTGTGTTTTAATGTATAAACAAATCCATAGCGGCTATAATCGTCCACTATTGTCAGGAAGTAACGTTTTCTATAAGTGATTGATGGAGTTAATGGACCAACTAAGTCCATGTGTACTAAATCAAAAATTTTGTTAGTTGATCTAGTAGATTTTCTTGGCCTGGGACTAGTTTTTAGTTTTGTAGATTTACATACTGAGCATTCCAGATAATTTTCACAATTTTTTATTTTAACACCTTCTGCGTGTTCAGTCATTTTTTGTACTACAGGAAAACTGGCATGTCCTAACTTCCTATGTAAGATGTGAGCACACTCATCATGAATTGGTTTACCTATTTTTGGCTTCTTATCGTTGTGTGCATCTGTGTGATCATGAGATATTTTACATTCATCATTGTCACTGTTGCTAACATTCTCATCATCTATTTCAATACAATCTTCCATATTTGAATCAATGTTATGTAACCATTTTTCTTTTGTTATCAGATAAGGTAGGCCTCCTTTAATCACCACAGTGCCTATATTTATTTTATTCTTTTCCAAAGTTGCCTTTCCTTTTGAAAAGACAATGTTAATGTCAGAATCTCTGCTTAGTTTTATGGCACTTAATATGTTATGAGGTATTTCAGGTATTAGCAATACCCCCTCTATTTTTCCTAGACCAGGCAAGGTTACATTTCCTCTACCTAATACTTGAACCTTTTCTTGGTTAGCTACCTTAATTACAAATTTATCTTCTGCAAATGAAGACAATATACTTTTGTTATTAGTGGTGTGATTAGTTGCTCCAGAATCAATAAGCCAATTATTGTTCTCACTTTGCTGTGTGTTAGTGTTGTCTTGTTTATTTAATCCATTCAGTGAACCAGATTTTCTATCCTTTGAATTGTCTCTGCCCCCTCTATTCTCTCTGTGATTTGGTGGGCTCCTATATCTATGCCTTTCTATGGAAGGCTGTCTATAATCGTATTTGTTTCTGTATTCTGATCTATATCTTTCTTTTAAAAATTTTGGGCAATCTCTTCTATTGTGTTCCCTGGATCCACAATTATGACATTTAAATGTTCCACTATATTTTTCTTGGAAAGCTACTTTCCTATATGGTTTGTGTTCTGTGTGATTGTTAGAACGATTCCTTCTTGAATTATCTTCTGTTATCAATTTGTTGGATAGACTTTCTATGGATAAATATCCTAGATTGATTGTGTCTAAATGTGACATAAAATTGTCCCATGATGGATCAAGTGAGTTGATAATAACACTTTTCATTGTTTGGTCTGAAATCACCTCCCCCCTCAAATGCAGTTCAGCTCTTATTTTGTTCAAAGATATTAAATGTTCACTTATGGAGACCCCTGGTTTTACCCTAGACGAAAAGAAATCTTTAGATATCCTTGTGGTGGTAGCTACACTGTCACTGTGAAACAAATTAAACATGCATTGAATAATTTCTGAAACAGTCAAATTTGGCTTAATGCTGTGATACATTGCAGGAGACACACTAGATATTATTAAGAAAAAAGCTCTATGGTGTAAACAATCTATTTTTAGAGTCCAAGGTCTTTTTGGGGGACTAGTGATAAAAAACAGTAAGTTTTCCTTCATAAAGACAACCTGGAGCTGTTGATACCATTCTTGTAAATTAATGCCATCAACCCTTAGTTTTGGGAAGTCACTGGGTAAATTTCCGACATTATTGGGTCCATTACTTACAACCTGAGGTAGTCCGTGGTCTCGTAAATGCAGAAAATTGCAAAACGGCGTGGGGATGCTCGCTACGAGTCTGCATGGTCTTCTCTCCAGTTCATGTCTTCCCGGACCGTCAGCGTAGTTTCGCGCATGCGCGTTGTCCATTTCTTCTTCGGCGTCATCGTGGAAGGTTCTCCCCATTGCGGCTTGCTCGCTCTGCTCCTCTTCAGACGAGTCGGTCTCTGGTTCGACTTTGGGAGTCCTGACGACGGTGGCTGCTCTTCCTCTTCTATTGAGGGCGTTGGTGCTTGCTTCGGTCTGCGGCGTAGGGCGGTATCGGCAGGGCTCTCTGGGTTCGGGCGTCAGCGCTCTCGTAGTCAGGATGGGAGCGGGCAGGTCTTGAGGCATTGGCTTGCTCGCTCGTTTCTTCGGCATCTTTTTAGTAATTTTCAGTTTTGGCCCAAATGCAGCAAAGAGCGTTTTCATTGCTGATTTTATTTGGTGTTTTGTTGAATCGTCCTCACTTTCTGGTTCTGATTCTTCTGAGGTGTTTGAATCTTCTTTTTCGTTTTCGTTGTCTGATAACATTTTTCGCGCCAGAAATTTTGAATTGAGCTTGCTGATTGGCTCTGCTTCGCTCATCTTGGAGGTCTGTTGAAACCAAGATGGCTGCCATTCAAATTTTCGCGCGGGATCACCGTTTTTCTTCTTTGTAATGATTTTCTCCGCAATCATATCACTCACTATTTCTGGGTCCTTAGGCTTTTCATTAGTGATGTTTTTCTCTCTCGCTGCTCCGCTGTTCTTCAGCATATCTTGGAGGTTCGCGATGAGGCTTTCATCATTCTTCTGGCTTTTTAATAGTTTTAATATCTCTGACCTGAGTTCGTTATTCTCTATTTCGATTTCCTCCTGGTCATCAATTATTTCTTCGTCTTCAGTGGTGTACTCTTCGGACTCTCTCGAAATTGCGTTTGTGGATTCGTTGGTTATTTCTTGTTCCGTTTCCATTTCTTTGCTGTAGGCCCTGGTGTTGGGCCTATCTTTCTTAGACATTTTAAAGTTTTTTATTGAGTCAATTAACCATCCTCTGCTACCAGCTTGTTGCAATATTTTCAGGATCAGACTCAATAAGATTAGCAAGAGTTAAAGGTTTAACTATATATTCTTTTATTTACAATAGGCATTCTATATTCACTGAATATTCACAGATAGAAGCAAGGGAAAGGGTGTAGGTAGCTCCTTATATATACAATGGGTGGAGCTATATGTGGGAGTGGTGAATTATGAATACATTAAGAAGTGAAGAATAAGTTAACCCCTGATACCCTTTGTACACTATTTACACATTAGAGAATAAGGCATTTACATCTGACAGTTCGATTCTGACCGGCTCAAGGTTGACTCAGCCTTCCATCCTTCCGAGGCCGGTAAAATGAAGACCCAGATTGTTGGGGGCAATATGCTAGCTCTGTAAACTGCTTAGAGAGGGCTGTAAAGCACTGTAAAGTGGTTTATTTATTTAGCGTATGGTTGGTCACACACAGTATTAAAACACTTCATTTTTACAGGTTAAAAACAATAAAAACAATAAAAAAACAGTAAGAAAACCTAAAAGGAAAGTGTAAAGTGGTATATAAGCCTAAATACTATTGCTATTATCCTCCCAAGCTATTCTTCTCCCAGTGGCCTCTCACAGAGATCTATGCATAAATCTGATTATGGTGCACATTGATTCTTGGCTTTTCCTTCTCAACAGATTTCTGATGCACTGATACGAAGGGTGCACCTGACTGAGGATCAGTGGGGGAAAGGGACACTCTCCCCAAGGATGACCACAGACTTCGACCTCAACCTGGATAGTGCCCCTTTGTTGCAGTCCATCCATCAACTCGACTTCATGCAAATGAAATGTAAATGTATTTATCTGTGTGCTTCCAAAGTGGCAATTGACGTAAAGTACTATCCAAAGCTATCTTAAATATCCATATCATTAAATATATGTTAAAATAATGAAGGTTCCATAGATTTAAATAGAGTGAAAGGGAGAAAGAATTATGTCCTACTCTCATACATTCTTGGTCTCATCCCCTCTGTCTAATCTGAACTCCAAATCCAATGTTTGCCTATCAGTATCCTTCATTCCATTCTCAGAAGGAAATTAGGCTGGCCCTGGGCCACCAGGAACACAGTAGAGGATGCATGACCAATAGATGTGATTTTTTTTCTGCCTTAAATAATTTTCTGCCTCACATAAACTAAATACATATTATATACATGTAATATTATATAAATCTTACATATTTATATCCTATGTAATGTGTGGGGTGGTATGGGATTGCATCAGTCTTAATTCCTGGCAGTTACACAGGCAAGGCTACCTAGAACTTTTTTCTAAGTAGAAGTTTTGGAAATTATTTACCACTGTCTTTTTCCTTATGTGAAAGTGGCTGCCTGAAGTTATCCTAGTTAGCTTCCATGCTTGAGGCAGGACTAGAACTCAGGTCTTCTTACTTCTCACCCAATGGCTTAACCACTAAACCAAACAAATCCTGTAATATACTGTATTAACAGAGTTTATGTAATAGATACATCTAGGATGTCTCAGCTGTGGAGGGTCAGAATAAAATAACTGAGTCTAACCAACCACAGCTGCGACATCCTATTGCGTGAAGGGACAGAGCCCATCCTCTGTGGGGTTTTGGTTTTTACTCACTTGAGATGAGTTAAACCAAACTAGTGTCTTACGTGTCTTATTTTGGAAACCAATAAGAAATTTCATCATTATTTGGGATTTGCTCTCTTGTTTTCATAGATAATTAATAAAAATACATAAATAATTTGGGATTCGCTACTGAATTTCAATGGTAGAATCTCTGGAGAGGTTGGGAACTCCGAAGTAAAATTGATTAACTCTGAAACTTATTTCCCTTTTGTAATTGATCTTCGAATAAGATAGCAATAGGGTGGCAACATCACTAAAAGGAAACAGTCCCAATCTCACCTAACTTCAGGTTTCCCTTGGCAGCCTCCTTTCCAAATATTAAACCAGGCCTGCCCTGAACTTTTTAATCCATTAAGAAACCATTAAGAACAATTCTGAAAGCTCAGTTTGGAGATTTTAACAGGGTTAAAATCTCCAAACATGGGGATGTTAGTAACATAGCCCATAGTAACATGGGCTTGCTACTGTAAGTCTTATACTGTTGGATGGCTTAATTGTAGTCAACAGCTCAGTAACCTAGGAAGTGTTACATTCATTAAGAACAATTTCAGTTTCTCAGAATACTAAATGCACATAATTTCTTCCAAGCTTCTTTGCTACAGTGTTGGGCATAAAAAGATTTTACCACTCTGAATTCCATTTTTTTTTCCTGACAGGGAGAGAGGAAATATATTATTGGGGCTTCTTTATTTGCCCTTTTATGTTTCTGCATCCATATCCTCAATCACATTCTTCCTTTGATCTGATTCTTCTTGTGCTGCCTTTGTACCAGAGCACAATGAACCACAACAGGCAGAGCTGCTAAGTAAAGAAAAAATTGAAAACTATCTTCAAACATGGTTTGAATCAACAATCTAACAATAAAAAGCATTCTCTAAAAGTTAGAAAATAAAAGTAGGCTTTAGCTTATTTTCTCAGAATCAACAAACATGTTTCGTGAACTTTCTGAAGCTGTTAATTTCTAGATTTGCTCTCAGACTAAAACATTTTAGCTGAGTTGGTGTATGAGCCCAAATTCTTTAGCTCACAACTTGCTGGCTCATGGAAGTTAGCCTCTTTCTAAGCTTCCAAGAGACCCTTCAGAATGAGATTATTTCGTGATGTTTAATAAAGGCATTCCAAAATATGATATATAGGCAGAGTTTTGCAGCAACACAGAACATCTGGTTTTTTTTCTTTTTCTTTTTTCTTTTTTTTAAACACAGAACATCTGTTGATGTTCTCCAGATGAAGTATTCTCGTTGCATATCTTTGCTATTAAGTGAAATATTCTTGGATCTCTCCTCCAGGACCAAGCTAACTCTTGCAGAAACCAGAAGCCGCAATTTGCATCTTGGCTGGAGGTAGAAGTCGGGGTTACACTAATTTCTGTTTAGCTTCCTCCCCAGTGCCAGCACCACCAATCCTTCAACTGGAAGAATGTTGTACCCATAACAACAGTGCCACATTGTCATGGAAGCAGCCACCTCTGTCCACAGTGCAGGTGGAAGGATACATCTTGGAACTGGATGATGGGAATGGTGGTCAGTTCAGGGTAAGCAATTAATAAAGAAATGTGAGGTGAGTGTGGAAAGGAATTTGGCTACCTGATGAACAAAACTATGTTTGACTGGAGCTCCAAGTGTCACCCTTGACCTGGAAAAATTAGCTCACCTCTGATGCAAAAATCTAATCCAGCCTTCTGCTCGCAATTGTACTCTACAATCCAGAGAGACAGCAAGTTAGGGAAGGCTAGTTTTATCCCTTATATGCCCAAATTTAAGAATGGCACTTTGGGAAACATGAGAACACCCTTTGCTATTTGGAAGAATTACTACCAGAGAAATCAGAACTTGACAAATTGGAAAAGAAGTAATCTGACCCACTACAAGGCAATTTTGTGTGTTTCGTGTTTAGGAGGTTTACGTTGGGAAGGAGACAATGTGCACTGTGGATGGTCTGCACTTCAACAGCACCTACAGTGCTCGGGTAAAGGCCTTCAACAAGACAGGTGTCAGCCCCTACAGCAAGACATTGATCCTGCAGACTTCAGAGGGTAAGTTCTGATTGGAAGGCTTTTCAACAGAAGAGAATATACTGTATGTAGCTCAGGGTTGAATGATTGAATCTTTGGTGCTCTCTGAACTTGATTGTTTGCTTGCAGACATTTCGTTACCCAATTAGGTAACAACATCAGTGCAAGTGTGGGGGGGGGGTTTGAAAAAAAAATCTCATGGAATATAACTTTTCTCTATGTGCACATGAAGGAAACAAGATGTTGCCCATCTCAGCACTGCTGGTTTGAACCACGTTTTTTATTCTATTTGCCAATTTGGAGTCTCATTTCGTCCAACCCCAAAAGTAACAAGAGAAAGAATGATAAGTTGGTCAAGGGTTACCTTTTTGTTCATTCTTAAATTGCAAAAGCACTTGGGGAAGGGAGTGCATGAATTGAATATGCAGAAATTCATAGAGGGTTTGTGTCTGTATGTGAACTTTTTTAATTCTTGGACTTCTCCCTGGCCTCTCTTGGACCATGGCAATCTCTTGTGCCTTAGCTTTCACTAACATAATAATAATTCAGTTAATTGCCTGGTGTTTGAATTATAAAACCTCATCAGAATGTACAAAAGAAAATTTAGAGCAGTGTTTCCTAAGCTGGTGTCCTCCATATGTGTCAAATTAGGATAATATTTGTAGAAAAACATGTTATACAAAGATTTATATTTCAAAATGTGAACCAGTGTGTCAAACTTAGAGTTTTTATTAAAAAAGAAGCAATATGGGTTTCTTATTGCCAATTTGAAAGTTTTCTTGATATATAGAAAAGAGAAAATATATTGTGTAAGCTACCCAGAGTCCTCTTCAGTGGGTGACTATAACAAATCTAATAAATTAAATGAATATATTAAATATAATCTATTTTAAGAACGCATCAGCTGAAGTATTTCAGTATTGTGTGAAGCTAATTATCATCTTTGCCTTCTATTGTTTAGCAATACAGTCTTTTCTATTTAATTACTTAAGAGACATTCCCAAAGTGAATTGTTAAGACATAAAATACTTTAAGGGCTACTCTTTATTACTAAATAATTTTTACAACTTTGAGATGGTATTTTCCCATTATCTTCCAGAATAGGATTAAGCCTTATTCTGTAAACCATGTACAGCCTTTCCACATTATAAGATTCATTTCTCATGCATTCTGGTAGTTGCTTTTCTAAAGATGGAGGACATGGTGCATCAAATTATATGTCAATAATATGTCTATCATATGCTCCATTATTGCCCCATTTCCCCAGTTGTTGATAGCACTGATCTGTGGTTTTTGCTCCCCTATGCTGTTCTAGTTTGGTTATAAATTGATAGGTGGGAAAATCTATTTGAAATAGATATGGTTAGTGGTTTAAAAACAGGTAAGATGAACCTGGTAGTATCAGCTATTTCAGGACCTCAGACAGCTCCATGGCTTGCAGACATTGCTCCAGTGGTGCTGTTTGTGAACTAATACTATAACTTCTACAATCCTTCAAGTAAAGTGGTGACTAATTTACACAGGGGAGGGCTGTGACATGTAGGCATGAACAATAAATGATTGCCAATGTGGCCACTTGTCTTTAGGTCTCGGCTTTTGTAGTGATTCAAGCTTCTTACAGAAAAGTTTGTGACTTCCTGATAATTTGATTTTCCCCCCCTATCTAACCTGGGAGATTGAGAAGGTTATCAGACTAGAAATGTTAACCTGCAGCTATCAATAAACCGAACATGTGGAAATTCCTGATAATGAAAGCTGAGCATAAGAATAGACAGTATCTATTGCAAACCTGGATTTTTTTTTTCCATTCAATTGTGCCAAGTTCTTGGACACTTCTCACTGTTTCCTTCCTAGGGCTGAGAGAAAGTGACTAGCCCAAGATCAACCAGCTGGCTGGATGCTCATTGTGAGACGAGCTTACCGTCTTCCAGTTTCTAGCCTGATGCCTTAACCATTACACCAAACCGATTTCTCCTGGAAATTGTAACTCTGGGAAATTTTATGTGGACTCTAGGAAACATGCTCATTTTGATCAAGGAAAATGGGATAACTGAACAAGAAATTCAAGCATTCAAGCAACATCTACCCTCAGAACTTAGGGAGGTCATTTGGATGTAACTAGAGAAGGCCAATCAAGTAAAGAGCATCATTTCCTGAATTGTAGTTTATGAAATTGGAGCATCGAGCAAAGACTCAGTAGAGTGAAATTCAAACTAAAATTTCATTTAGTTGAAATTTAGACCTTTAAACATCTAGGTTTGCTCATCAGTCCCACCACTGAAAAATGCAATGTTCTCCTCCTGAATAACAAATCCCCATTGCTGTTGTATTTGCAATGTAAACTCATGTTTAAAATGCATGTTGTGGGCACCGACTGGGCATTGCGTATTAAGTGATTGGTGCCCATATGACAGTCTTTCACTCTACCATCTTCTGCCTTCGTGTAAAGGATCCTGGGATACCTATTTCAGATTACGCTGCACAGAAATTATGCACAGAAAATTGATCTGCTTTGTTGGACTGACCTGACCCCAACCTGTACATCTAAAGAATCATTCTTCATACTGTTACAGTTGCTATTATGAGATGTATTGGCTTGGTTAGGACATAGCACCAAGCCTTAATTTTTTTTTTGTATAGTGTGTTGTATGAATCCAGTCATTTTAGCTTGTTGAATATACTATGCTTAAAGCAAACCATGGCTTCTTGTGAATTCAGATGTTCAGCGACTGTGCAGAATCTTTCCCTATCTTTAATATGTTAGTTGCAATAAAAGGTTCTTATAGTTATTTCTGAAGAAAAGTGGAAAATGAGTGTTGAACAACTTTTGGAGAAAAGAAATGGAAATTCCCCAACTAGGCTTTTTTTTTAAAAAAACAACAACATAGAAATAGCAGGAACTGGAAAACACACTAGAGATTTGCGTGGAAAGTAGTGGGGAAAACTCCCTGTGCTGGTTAATTTTGCTACCTCTTCTGCAACGTTTTAATATTGATAGTCCTCGATTTACAACTATCCAATTCACGATCATTTGAAATTGAAACCAGCACTGGAAAAAGTGATTTATGGCCACTCATCGCACTTAGGACCATTGTAGCATCCCCCCCATGGTCATGTGATCAAATTTTGGGTGCTTGGCAATTGGCATTTATTTATGATGGTAGTAGCGTCCCTGGTCATGTGATCACCATTTCTGACTTTCCCAGGCAGCTTCTGACAAATCAACGGGGAAAGCTGGATTTGCTTAATGTCTGCATGATTTACTTAACAACTGCAGTGATTCGCTTAACAACAAGGCTGTAAAATCAGTCATGATTCACTTAACCGATGGAAATTCTTGTTCCAATTGCAATCATAAGTCAAGGACTACCTGTACATCCAGGTTAATGTGGGGGGAGAGTTCTCCTCCTCCTCTCCGTAGTCGCTCTGTAAGTACCCACTGGGAAGTTGACATTTCATTATTTTATTTTTTTTTGTTCTAGAATTGTAATCTTATTATTTAGAACAGCAATCCCTCCTCTCCCACTGCATTGACGCCAATGGTGGTTATGGTAGCTTGTTGGAAGTATGTCTATGTAACGGCATACAGTTTTTCAACAGAGTTCTGACCTTGAGTTTGCCTTGATCTTACATTTAGACTCCGAACCTGAGGAGCAGGCCCTGACATTCCCAGTGCCTTTGGAAAGGCTGCCGCTGCGTAGATCAAGTCCTTTCTCTTCCACCCTTAACCTGCAAAACAGCTTTCCGGGGAGATCCTACTTTGAGCTAAGATCCTCGTCCCACCAAATGAGTTTGCACTCCTCTTTACAATCTCTGAATTCGGCCGGTGGGTGAACCGAGCACGCTTAGCATTGCCTCTTAAGCTGCGCTTCTGGGCATATTTTTTTTTGGTTTTTGTTTCAGGGTGTGGTTCTTGTTTTGTTGCTGTTTTGCTTTCGCTTTCCTTTTTGGATATTTTTTTTGAGGGGGGGTCCCCTCTTCCTGCCCCCCCATCCTGCCCGTGACATCCATATGAAATGGGACCAAAGTGTTCTATGTTGTCGGTGGCCTGCTGCTTTCCACCTGTGGAGAAGACTGATGATGTAGATGTGTGACATGTTTGTCTCTCTGTGACAAGATTGTGGTACATTGAAATGCACTTGTGAGCAAGCAAGAAAACCTCGCAGAACTAGTGAAGTAGCTGCTTCTGTCAGGCTGGCTGCAATAGGCATGGATCCCTAGTTCACCATTTGCCTTCCATAGAATAAAGAAGCTCCATTTTGCCCATCCCCTTTAACATATCCATATATACAAACACACACATACATATGCAAATTGGCCAGGTGCAAATAACATTTAGAATATATATTGATTCCAAAATGTACATTAGGCGACTGTATTAGGCAACTTTGAGGGTTACCAGAAATCTTCCAGGTTTCTATTTTGCAACCCCAGAGTTAGCCTAATAAATATTTTAACCTACCCTGTTTTCCCGAAAATAAGACATCCCCTGATAATAAGCCCAATCGGGCTTTTGAGCGCATGTGCTAAAATAATCCCCCCCCCGAAAATAAACCCTCCCCGAAAATATTTAAACGCAGAGCTGGAAATCAGGTAACATGGCAAGAGGAGCCCCATCTTGCTCCATGCGCCCCAAAATAATAAGACCTCCCCAAAAATAAGGCCAAGCACTTATTTTGGGGTTCAAAAAATATAAGACAGGGTTTTATTTTCGGGGAAACATGGTAATTGGGATTTTGGCTTTTTTTCTATGACAGATAACCCTTTCCTTTTCTTACTGCGTGGCTTAGGTATATTAATGGATTTTAAGATAGCATTTGAGATAAGATGATATTAGATTTATCATTATTGATACCATGATTATTCATGATTGAGACATTTATTGTGAGGCACATGGACATAGAGACCGAGTTGTTCCATTCTCCTCCTTTCTGTAGATATTGATAGACCCTCTCTACGGAACATGTTTGAAAAGGCTGCCTTAGGGAAAACTTTAGAAGAAGGGCTAGACTTGTTAACTTAGCCTTGCTACTACAACTACCATAAGAATTTGGAGTAGAAGAAAGATGTGGCTTCTATGTCTCCTCGGTTTCCCCACAAACACCCCCTCCCTAAAAAGGTCAATGAGAACCATTTGTTGTTATAGCTGACCTGTAGTCTAGTGGTGGGCATTAGATTAATTTATCTGCACAGACCTGATTCTCACATTATTTTTATGAGTGGAAAGTTTCATGGGAGGATAGTTTTGGTAGAACTGCATCTGTTGAGTGCCCAGATGACCTATCTTGACACATTCCCCAAACTACATGTACAAATATTTTTTTTAAAGAACTATTTTGGTTAAATGCTTGAAATATGCTTTTTCTCTCTTCTGCAAATGGTTGGGGTTGCTAATACAGTACTTTTGGAAGGACCAGAAGATAAGATCCGATGAGATCAAGTGTGATCCACATTTCATTGGTTAAATTCTGGGTTTCATTGTATCCAAAATAGTACTACACACTGGGATGCAGACACATATGTGTTATTACTCATACAATTATTAAGTGTTCAGTTATTCAGAAATTCATTCAAACCAACTTTGAATCTATAAAAGGATCTTAGAGCCAAACACAATGTAAGCTTGGAGGGAGGAATTCACATTATGTTCTTACCCAACCTCCTTTCTCTATTGCAATGGTTCCCCATAAGTAGTTCCCTGAAAGATACTACTAGCGCTTTTTAAAATATGCACGTTAAATGTAAACATGAATTAAATTGAAAGCATAGTTTGGTCATCAATATCCCCATTTTACATACGAGTAACTAAGAGTAATTTGAACAAGGCGCCCATCATGTTCAGGAATAAGCCAGACTCTGACTTAGTGCTATGTCACAAGGCACTGATGGATTATTATTATTACAGAAACATTTATTTACTTTATTTTTATTTATTTATCACATTTCTACATCACCCATCTCTCCTAAGTGACTAATAAACATGTAATAATAACTATGCTAAGTAGTAATAAACATGTAATAATAATTATGCTAAGCAATAATATAGCACTAGTAATTGGAAAGGGTGGTTTACATTTAATGTGTTGTATGAAATCAGTCCATTGTGATTTTTCCAATTACTTACCGGGTTTGCAATTCATGCCAACAGCCACAAAATGCTGGAGCAGAAGTTTCTCCAAGATATATCAGCTTCCCACTGGCCTTGGAGAACCTTCAGGAAAAAAAGTCCCAAACACTCTGATTAAGGCGTGATCAATGTAGGCGATTTCCTGGGATGGAAAGTTTAGCTGCCTTTTAAATTTTCCACATGATAAACTGAAGGAACAGAGAGTGTTTGCATCAGTGAACTTTCAGTCAGGCTATTTTTGAACATGATTCTAGTGTCCTTCAGGAAGACTATTAGACTTGCATTCTGAAATAAATTAATTGACTGGTCAGAAAGTATGAAGAACATTTGAGGCACCTTCTTCCACTTCATCCAGTTATTCTCTGCCATGTCATTCTTGTCAATTTCACACCAATTCTTTTTACATGGGCCCTTTTATATAGAATATAGAAGAACAGAGCTGGTAGGGACCTTGGAGGTCTTCAAGTCTAACCCCCTGCTTAGCCAGGAAACCCTATACCATCAGTTGTATCCACAACTTCTGGTTGTTCCACTGATTAATTGTTCTAACTGTCAGAAAATTTCTCCTTAGTTCTAGGTTGCTTCTCTCCTTGATTAGTTTTCATCCATTGCTTCTTGTCCTGCTTTCTGATACTTTGGAGCATAGCCTGACTCCCTCTTCTTTGTGGCAACCCCTGAGATATTGGAACACGTCTATCATGTCACCTGTGGCCCTTCTTTATATTAAACTATATACCAGATGTCAATTGCAAGATGTTGCTAAAGCTGAGGTTGCTGTCACTTACTTATCCCTAATTGGTAACTACTTCAAGGAGATATCAAGGCTGGCGGTGAATGGTCATTGTTGGCTGAACTTGGAAAGAGTAAGCAATTTGCCATAGAACTAGGCAAAGGACTGTAATAAAAAAGAGATAAAAGTATAGTGATGCAAAAACTCTTCTCAGCAGAACTAGAGAAAAACCTACTATGCACTCATTGGGCCCAAACCAGCAGAAGCCAGCCCTCTTTCCCAGATGTTCTATGCAATACAGTCCTAACACCCTGTTTAAAAAAAATACAGATCTAGCACTCTTTCAAAATAACCCAGTAAACCTGTGTTTAAATACAGACCTATTGCTCTTTGAAAAGAGCACAAACCCATGTATTCTGAAGTGTCAGTAGGACATTTTTTTAGAACAGGGTGTCAAACTCGATTTCATTGAGGGCTGGATCAGGGTTGTGTTTGATCTTGGGGGACCGGGGTGGGGGTGGCCAGGGTGGGGGTGGCCAACTCGATGTCAGTTGTGTCAGGAGCACCTGTGGTGGCCCAAGCCCTCTGCCAGTGAAAACAAAGCTCGGGAGAGCCACGTGAAGCCCTCGTGGGCTCCATTTTTGGCTGCAGTGGCCTCCTGCAACCTTCTGCCAGTGAAAATGAAGCTCGGGGGGCCCGCATGCAGCCCTCCCGAGCTCTGTTTTCGCTGGGAGAGACACTGCAGCCCAGTCCTTCACTGTTCCCAGGGTGGCCCCGTGGGCCAGATCAAAGCACCCTGTGGGCCGGATCTTGCCCCCGGGCCTTGAGTTTGACACCCATGTTTTAGAAAGACACCTCTGTGGAAGCCAGATGTCCAGGATTCTCTCCAGTCCAAATCAAAGTTGGCCATGAAAGACAATGCCTAGCATCTGGAGAAACCTAAAATGTCCAATGAGAACTGGGCACATCCCACTCTATGTCTGGGTCATCAGCCATTTTCTTGAGGAATTGCTGTATGTATCATGTCCACAGCAAAAAAAATGTGTCTGGAAAAGAGGGAAAACATGATTTTAAACTGGAAGTGAGATGAAGGCAGCCTAATCAGAATATGTTCTTTAAAATACCTTAGTGCCGAATCCTGTCATTTTTCAATCTTTAGCAAGGGGCTGCCCGAGAAAGAAAGCAATTCCAAATACTGGCTCTGTGCTTTTGTCTCAAGTCATAACCTCCTGCTTCTTTCTGAGATATGCAGAGTTATTGGATTTTCCTAGAGGTCTTTAACCTTTTAAGCCAGCAGGCACATTTGGAGTGTTCAGAATATATTGTAGGGTCTACAGCAGCTCTGGGGAGGCGGGGGAGGGTGCTTTCAACACTAAATGACTGCCACAATGAGTGGGACCAGTTATAAAACAAGAAAGGCAGGTAGGACTGGAAATCTGGTGGGCCTTAAGGGAAGAGTGTGTGGACAAATTGGATCCATAGTCAGACTAGGTTCCGAACAGCAGGGGTCTCCAACCTTGTCAACTTTAAGACTTCCTGTCTTAAAGCTCCCAGAATTCCTGGCTGAGGAATTCTGGGAGTTGAAGTCCGCAAGTCTTAAAGTTGACAAGGTTGGAGACCCCTGCCCCAAGGGTATATGAAGCCATCACTCTTAATGTAGGCCCTGAAACTTAAGCAAAGTTGAGGTCCCTCTGTAGTTATGATTAGCTCTGCACAATAGCCAGTGTCTTTGCTTTGCTTTTCCTTTCCGTTTTGGATTATCCTGTATCACTAGCTTACCCCACTATTGGGTCCTTCCTGACATTGTCCTAAATGAAGGAACATAGTTCTGACACCTCTGTGCTTTCAAAGGAGGAACGATGCAGCATTTCAGTTGCTGGGCTACGCCAGGGGCTGCCACCTGGCCTTTGTTATCTTTGTTATACTGTTTCCCCATTGTGCTTTTATGGGTTCTGCATCCCATTGCCTTGGCTTTCAACATTTTCATACTTGAATGTTTTGATCTCTCGTCCGGTGTACTAAGTGTTAATGACTCTTTCTGTTTTCCTGTATGTGGAATTTATATATTTTGCAGGAGTCTAATATTAACCTGGGCACAACGTTCAGAGGGGATGGGGATTGGAGGGTCTCATTCCCAAATTGAAAATGTGTGCTTCTCTTTGTGCTATTTATGGAGAAAATGTACTGTATAATAGATGAGTTCACAATTTTCCAAGCTGGTAAAGGTTCATAATCATTTAAAAATTAAAAGGCCTTATGGGATCCTTATAAACAGGGCTGTGTTGCATTTTCCATATTCATGTGCAAAATTCTACCGCCACATTTCTAAGCACACATTTATGCAAACTAAATTATGCATACAATTGCTTACTTCTGTGCACATTATTGTTTTCTAAGTCTAAATGCTCAGAGGGGAAAAAGTACATAAGAATGACAGAGAAAAAGGTGGAACTCTTTCTAATTCTGCTTTCACTGGAAAAGAAAATTAATGGGGGAGGGGGAGGAAGAAGAGGAAATAAATTATATTGAACTACACACCTGTATTAAGAACCTCTAACTCTGCAGCTCATTCCATCAGTTCAGCATCTCATTCCATCATAGGGACATGCCAGATGCTCTGGAGAAGCCTTACAAGCAAAGCTTCAGCCATTCTCGTTCTCTAGAAATTGATACTTTGGGGTACACCGCCATTGAATGTGGAAATTTCATTTTACATGGCTGAGACTTTCCACTGATCCACTCCATCTTCATTGAACTAACGAAGCACAATGTGAAGAACAATTGTCTTGGTTTGCTGTGACTCTGCTGCCACTTAGTTCCAAAGGCCAACAGGGAATTCTGGAGGTCCTGGTTCATGTGTGTCATCCAGAGGCCAACTCCTATGGAGAACAGCTCTGTTTTTACATCAGGTTTTCAGGCTTTGGAGTAAACCTGGCAGTTTGCTTGTACGAGACCCAGGGTTAAGAATGCCCCATGTTAAGGGTGACCCATAGTTAAGAATGGAGCCCATTGTAGCAAAATTAGAGTTAAATACCCAGTGATTCAAGTTAAATACACAGTGGTTAAAGTTCATTGCACAATATTATTTACACAGTATTAAAAATAGTGCTGTTCTGGCTTATATACACATTTGACATAAGGACAGGCTTTGGGAATAGAACCTGTTCTTAAACTGGGGCTACTTGTATACCTGATGAACGCAAGCACCCAGCGTTGCTTGCGTCTGGTTGAAATTTCTTGGCGTCAGTGTGTGAAATGTAGTATCTCTTTATAGGTTTTGAGGCTCAGTCAGGACCTTTCTCCCAATTAGGCAAGTATATTTGTTCCACTTCAGTGATGTGGCCTTTATTCTGGTCTCTTGTTTCTCCAACTTTCTTGTTTGTGCAAAGATCTGCATTCAGTCTAAGACAATGTCTGTTCTGCTATAGTGTGTGACCATTCTGAGACAAGGATGATAACTGCAGAATATTCCGTGGAGGGGATTTCAAAGTGAGAGAGACTTGGGAGGTCACAAGGGTCAGTTTGTTGAAGACAGAACAGGCAACAGGCTCTAATGGATATGCAACTTAATTAATACTCTCCCTCATTCATTTCAGTGGTCAAAACATCATGCATGCTTCCTACATACATTTTACATAAATTCCTACACTCTCCTATAATATACTAAGAGGTTCCTGAATCCTCTTAGATCCCAGGAAGACAGGATTTAGATCCCTACAGATCTGAGGCTTTTCTACTGATTAGGTCATCTAACTGGGACATTCAAAATAATAGCCCAGAGTGGAAAACACCCATCTAAGCACGCAGGTAAAGTGAAATCTATGACACAAGGGCTGTGGAATTCTACAGTGAAAATCCTACATGATTAGGAAGCAAAACGGGCTTCCAAAACAAGCATAGGTAAGGCTATTCCAAGTCTATGAGATGCATTCTGCGAAATGCATCTATTTCATATTTACTTTGCAGTCTGGAAGTTCATGTAGGGCTGGGGAAAAGTTGTGATCAGGTGTAACAAGTCAAGAAAAAAAAATCAAATCTCAAGCCTCAAGAAGTCAGTGGCTTGCCACCAACATTCAATAACTCAAGGTTCCTCTTCAAAACCTGACTCCATTTTTAGCCAATGACCATGGCTACAAATGGTAGACTTTTACCCACTACCATTGACTCAGAAGCAGTCCAGAAGGAGTGACTGAGTTATTAAACCAAATTCCATGAACTTTGATTCAGCTATTGCAATAAAGAAATCGAGGCCTGAATATTCTTTTTTATTAAATCATATGGAAACTGAGGAATGTTCAATTTTCATTTGGTTCTGAAAGAGTTTTTGGAAAGGCAGGTGGTCCAAACAAACAAAAAAACAACCCATCCTGGTTTACGTTGATTTGCTCATACCTTTCCCTTCCCATCTGTACAGCTATGTGGTCTTCATTGTTCCTTTTATATAATTACATAGGGTTTTTGTTATCACCCAACTGATGGAACAGCTCTGGAAGCTGAGCTAAGTAAGAGAGAAATGATGCAGTTAACCTCCATGTGTGAATATTGTAAAAATCATTAATTGGAAGTTTTGGTTTGTGTATAATTGCCAATTTTATTTGTTTATTCTCCTTCATGCATTCCACTTGGAATGACAACAGTTGATATTAAAAAAATGGTAGCAGGTATGAGCTCTCTTGGGTGCATGGGGAACATATGTGTGTGTACGTGTGTGTATAGGCAAACTGCATTGATTGGCATTGACTGGATATGTGTGCTTATTTTACATATTTGTGGCATGACACCAAGGATTATGTTCCTCTTGTGTTGTGGTGTCTTTTCAACTATGCAGGTGGAATGTGCTAGGTAGCTACAAAAAAGTTCTATAGAGTCAGGAAGGCAATTAAAGGAGGAAGGGGGCCAGGTGTGTTAAAACCTCTCTTAAGAGCTACCATTTCTCCTTTGTATTTCACGCTGCAAACTGCCTTTCTCTGCCCTCTCATTTTGCAATATACTGTATATCTCCATTCCAGCTCTGAAACTAAACAAGAGCCATGGTGGCCCAGTGGTTAGAATGCAGTACTGCAGGCTACTTCTGCTGACTGCCGATTGCCAGTAGTTTGGCAATTCGAATCTCACCAGGCTCAAGGTTGATTCAGCCTTCCATCCTTCCGAGGTCAGTAAAATGAGGACTCAAAATTGTTGGGGGAAAGATGCTGACTCTGTAAACTGCTTAGAGAGGGCTGTAAAGTCCTGTGAAGCGGCATATAAGTCTAAGTGCTATTGCTATTTAATGGAGCTGCAGTACCAAGTTCTGGCCCACTGGCTGACATTCATGAAGTAAATATATGGTAGCTGCAAATAAGGAAGTTTTATGTGATGATTCTACATTGTTTGAGGTGATATAGAAATTGCTTTAGGATATGGCTTTTTCATTCTCTTGGCTCATCACTGTCCGAAGTCTTGCCAGGTCTAAAATATTTATTGTCTTTCCTGGTGCCACTTTAAAAAAGGTGTTTAAAATATCAGAATAGAATAACAGTTAATATTTTTACAAAGTCTCAACCCTGAGTGAAATGATTTTGTTTTTGTGCTTTTGTTCATTTTCTCCCAATGTGCATGAAAGGCTGATTTATGAATTTACAAAGCTGATTTAACTTGGATATCTGCAATACAGTCTACCCATGTGTTTGTGATCCCTTCTAAAACCATTAGCTGCATATTAGGTGAATGTGTCCCAGTTTAACAGTGGGTCCCATGTTAGAGAGGATGTATTTGGGATGCATTTTAATCTAGATTCCTGCACTGAGCAAGCGGTTGAACTCAGTGGCCTGAACTTCCAACTTCCAACTCTAAAATCCACAGATAGAATCCCACCAGGTTGATTATTATACGTGTTAGCTCCATGCATGTTAGTTTTCTGATGCTATGTGATATCCTTCACACGGTGAATGTCATACAATATGTGGCCACATTCTTGGTCTTTCATTTCATTTCAGCTCTTCCATTCACTAAGCCTTAGGCTTTTTAGCAGAGCTTTCTCTGAACAGGCCACTGTTTCTCAACCTCAATAATTTTAAGATGTGCAGACTTCAACTCCCAGAATTCCCCAGCCAGCATAGCATAGCATAGCATAGGAATTCTGGGAGTTGAAGTCTACACATCTTAAAGTTTCGAAGGTTGAAAAACACCAGAATAGACATTTTCCAACCCTCTTGCTTTTTAAGCCAACCCAGTTTGCCTCTCGGTCCCACATTTTGGATTTGCTGCAGAAACACTCAGCGAAATCCTTTTGAGGGTCTTTACTGAATGCAGACCCAAATTCTTCCCCTGCATGGCAGCATGCAATGCTTTTTGCAGCAACTGTGTGTCTCTGCCTACCACCATACTCACCCTGATAACTCTTCCACGCTTGTGTGCATTGCAGTGGCTTGGTTTTCGTTTGACCCCAGCACTGCTCACTCCGACATCATCTTCTCAAACGACAACCTGACAGTTACCTGCAACAGCTATGACGACCGGGTTGTGTTGGGCAAAACTGGCTTCTCCAAAGGGCTCCACTACTGGGAGCTATCCATCGATCGCTATGACAACCACCCCGATCCAGCTTTTGGAGTTGCCCGAATGGATGTTCTCAAGGATGTCATGCTAGGGAAAGATGACAAAGCTTGGGCCATGTATGTGGATAATAACCGAAGCTGGTTCATGCATAACAACTCACATACCAACAGGTACCTGCCTCCAAATTGGTTCTGTTGTTCTTGTTTTGTGCACTTCAAATCTTTTGAATTAAAATATCTGGGGATGAGGGACTAAATTGTCTTCATAAAAAGCATGCAACATTGTATTTTTGAAAAGGAGAGTCCATCATATGCTAGACCAAATTGTTCTTCTAACTGGGCTGAAGTCAACAACTTTAGTGAATCAGAAGCAGGGGTGAAATGTAAAATTTGTTACTACCGGTTCTGTGGGCGTGGCTTGGTGGTGGTGGGGTAATGTGACTGGGTGGGCATGGCCAACTTTTTTTTTTTTTTACCTTTCAAAGCATTTTTTTTACCACCTCTTTGGCTGAAGAGGTTGCAGAAAAAAATGCTTTGAAAAGCCTCTGACGATCCCAGCTGAGCTGCCCGATCATCAGAGGCTTTTTTTTTTTTACTTTTAAAAGCATTTTTTCGGCGGAAGAGGTTGTAGAAAAAATGCATGGGCATAGGGGGGTGGGTACAGGGATTTTTGCTACCGGTCCAAACCGGGAGCATTTCACCCCTGATCAGAAGGGACTCTGTTCCTCAATCCACTTGTTCCCTCCTGAATCGGGACATTCAAATTGGCATTTATAACATCACCATTTGCTACCCATAGTGGAAATGTTTCGGAGCATGTCAGAACTTTCCCATCCTGAGGTAGAGGACAGAAAGGAAAATAATTTCCAGTTCAAGGAAGTTTAAAGGGGAACCACAGTCTGGCAGATCCAGAATCCATTCCATGTGAAAGTACCTGTCTTCCACCTTGGCAGTGAAGGTGCTCGGCCTGTTTTTATTTTCTTGAGCCCAAACGCCACTTGCAATAAAAATGCAACAAAGCACAGCCATCAGATAACAGGTAATCTTTAAATAAAATGTTAAGCACTTAGCTGAGCAAAAGCTTGCTGGAATAAAATTGTCTTTACTCCTCTGATGAAAGATAGCTAGATTGGGGACAACCTAAATTCTGTGAGATAAATTTTCCTCAACAACTAAGAATGTTTTATCTCTCTTCCCCACTCCCAATCCTCTTCCATATTTCTGCCTTGGTAGGTAGATTGTGCCAGGTGATTTTGTAAGTGGGTATATAGATCTTAAATATAATTTCCAGCCAGAATGATCTTCAGCTGATTTAGAGCTTTACGTATAATCATTAAAATTCTGAATTCAGCCCGAAGCAATGTGTAATAAATCCCAACTAACATTTTACATTCTGGACCAAGAATCTGGACTAAAAAGAACCCAAAGACTCTTCAAAAACAGGCCCAGGTGGAGGTTATTGTAGAGATACAATTTTGACGTAACTAAGGCATATATTACCATACTCAATTCTAACTTGCCAGTGCTGAATCCTGTTCCCAATTCTTCAGCCTACCTACAGTGCAGTCACTAGACTAGAAACACTGGGTTGTTTATTGGCCATCTAAGTAGATGACATGGCTCTTTGTGGAGAATGTATGTGTTCCTCTGTTAGTGGAACATGTACATTCTCCACAAAGAGCCATGCCATCTAAAAGACCAACTTGGATGTGCTTGAAGGATGGCCCCTCAAATGTCAACATGCAACAGTGGTCAAGAACATTGAACAAGGATGGGGAAAGAATGTTTAAATCTTAATTGGACCATAAATCTCACTGAAAAACTAGAGGCAATCATTATCTCTAAGTCTGACTTATCTCCCAGAACTGTTGTGAAAACTAAATGTACCCATCTAACCCACCTTTAAGTTGGAAAAGGAGATGTGTTAATTAAATTAAATAGTTGCTAATTGGCATTTTTTTTTCAACAGGACTGAAGGAGGTATCACCAAAGGTGCCACTGTAGGCATCTTGCTTGATTTGACCAGGAGGACCTTGACTTTCTCCATCAATGAAGACCAGCAAGGACCTGTGGCCTTTGAGAATATGGAGGGTATATTCTTTCCTGCTGTCAGTCTCAACCGGAATGTGCAAGTAAGGTTGGGCTGAGTCCTGGCTGGTTGAAAAATGCCAGTTGGTGTATGCGGTGGCAATGGGGGTAGACAGCAACTATAAGGATGGCAGGAATAAAATGCAGGGCTGAGGTGGCAAAAACTGGAGTGAAGCAAAAGACCTGAAATAATCTTCCTCAAAGTGACCACCTTCAACATGTGTAAACTTCAATTTCCAGAATTGAGCAATAGCTACACTGGCTGAAATTTTCAAGAGTAACTCCATATTACTAGAACACATAATTTTGTTGTGACCGAGGCCCACGTAGTTATTACCAAACACAATTCAGTCCTGAACAAACTTATTTTATTAAAACAGCTGAGAATTAATTCATTCTCAGCGTAGTCCAAAACAAATTCTTCATAACCAGTCCTACGGCCTTATCACCAACCTTTGATGTCTTTGGCAACCTGCCAAAGGCTTTTCTTGGCAAAACCCCCCGCAAAGTTCAAGAGACACTGACAAGAAGCACTGGAATCAACGTTGCTTTTCTACAAAGAACCCAATGGCTCATTGCTGCTCTTTTAAGCCTTATGGGAATGGCCAATCATCTTCTGGCCTTACTCCCGAGTCGCCCTTTTTGCTTCAGGTGCTCTTACCTTCTTCATATGCGTGCACTAGGAACAGGCTCCTGCTGTTCCTCTGCCTCTCCGCTGTACGCCTCTGGAGGCTCCGGAGTCCATGCATCGCACCCAGATGGTCCTGGCCCCATCTCTGCCTCCGACGCAGAGCTCTCATCCGGGCCTTCCCCTGCCTCCAGGACTGGCCCATGTTCCTCCCCAGCCTCCTCACTGTCTGACTCCGCTGCCAGGTCCGCAGGCTGCTGGCGGACCACAACTAGTTTGGGGAAGGCTGGCCTAGACCATAGGTCCAGCAATGTTGTTTATCATTGTCACTTCCTTTTGGCTGAGAGTGCTGGCTGAGAGTGAGGGCGGTAGAGCTCAACAATCAGTCTTCTATCCCTGCCTATGATATGCCAAGATAGCTCCAGATTTAAAGGAGACAGTATTCCCTGGTTCTCTCTTCCATGGGTAACAAGCAGTGGTGGGTTGCCCCCGGTTTGCACCGGTTCTATAGAACTGGTAGTAAAACTGGTGGGAGGCTCCGCCCACTGACCTCGATGTCATCAAAATGCTTCTGCGCATGTGCAGAAGCTTCTGCGCTTGTGCAGAACAGCGTGCGTGCGGCCCCCTTGCCAACCGGTAGTAAACCGGTAGAACCCACCCCTGGTATGCAAGAATGAATAGTGTTGAGTTTATTATGAACAGGGCTACGAGAGTTGGTTCTGTGACCATGGAAAAGCAAAATCTACCAGATTAAAAGTTGATTCAGAATGCTCTCCAGGTCACACACTGTCCAATCTGGCTTGGTTTCAGGTCACACTCCACACTGGCCTGCCGGTCCCGGACTTCTACAATGCACGGGGATCCTTGCAGTAGAGACGCCCTCATGCCTTTTTCTCAGGACACATCAAGAGAGCTGCACTGACCTTCTTCAAGAATTGACCTCACAGGAGCAAGAAGGAGAATATCTGGTCATCTGGCAACTCCAAAGCAGCAAAAACCATTTTTTACATAATAATAATAATAAAAAAAGCAGAGGGGCAGAAACTAAAGAAAAACAAGGACAAAGCAGACTTTGCACCTCAACAAGGTGCAGCAATTGACTCCCACCCCCCTACCCCCTAGTTTCTCTAACCCCACATGCTGTGCGTGAGTTAGCTTTGCTATTTTTGCTTTTTGGTTGATCACAAAATTCCTGGACAATCCGAGGTGTAACTCTTTGTTTCCAGTTTGGTTTTATTCCTTCCTAAAGAGTTTTTCCTTTTCCTTGAATTCAAATCAGATGTCATGACATAGCAAATGTGATTGAACCACTTTGACTCCCAGAGAAGAGATGGTTGTAGTCATATTGCTGTGGATTAAGTTCAAAAATGGCACGCCAAACATTTCTACGACCTGTTGGCTTGCAAGAATTGCTTTCTCTGAGTCCGTCTAACTTCATCTCCACCTTCTCCTCCTTTGCAGTCTTTCTCAATGAAGAATATCATCAAAAAATATCGGACTTGGGTTGCCATGTAGTTGGTGATTGTAGGGACAAATAATAATAATAATAATAATAATAATAATAATAATAATAATAATAATAATAATAATAAAAAATACCACAATGGAAGTTCCACCTTTGCCGTATTTGCAATGCAGTGTTGCAATGTAGATATGAAAGGGTGGAGTTTATGTTGTGACACCACAGCACATATCTTGTTTTGGCATCATCCTGGCTAGTTATGGAAGCCTACGTGTGTCTCCAAATATCACGAAATCCTTTGGAGACTATCGCATAAGCAGATGACATCAAATATAATGGCCACAGGATCCCAGAACCAAATAAAAAATTGATTTTTAAAAATGGCCCAAACCTCACAAGATCACCAAATCTCATGAGACTAATTTGGAGCAGGAATGCCCAATCTTTTACATTTTTATTGACTGCTTTAAAAATAAGTTTATATTGGTTCCTGTGACAGGGATGCCTTGTGTCTTCTTATGGACTATCCTGAGATTAAAGATTGAGAATCTATATACAAAGCCATGCAGAATTAATAGTTTTTAAAAGTCAGTGTTTTATTTTTCCAGTGAAAGCAAACAGAAAGATGATCGTATAATTTCCACAGAAATGGTAGGCAAGCACTTGTGTTGGAACAAAGAGAGCTCACAACATCCACACACTTACTAAAGGAATTAATTCCTCATTTTTAATTCATAGATCACTTTTTCGATCATCACCAATGCAGAAAATGGGAAACTAAGTTTTTTTTTTCCTCATAAACATACATACATATATAGACTCTTAACCAGTATTAATCATACACATTATCTTTGGTTTACATATTAATTCATTTTTCTTCCTTAAGTAATTAAAATAAGATGGACTGCTTTTCTTCCCTTCCATCTCTTCTTTAAACCCCAGCAACCTATCCTTTTCAACTTTCCTCTTCCTCCTCTTCTTCCCTTCCTCTCCTTCCCCTTCCCTTCCCCCACTCTTCTCTTCTTCCTCCCTTCCTAACCTTCTCTCCTACTCTCATTTCTCCTCTTTTTCTTCCTCTCCTCTTCCCTTTCTTCTATCCTTCTCTCTCCTTCCCTCTCTTCTCCCCTCTTTCTCCTCTACCCCTCTACTCCTCTCTTCATTCCCTCCCCGTTGTTGTGTTTTATTTTTTGAACAACATCAGGAACCTCTAGGCTACATGCAGTGAGGCTGCCATGTTTGTTTTTCATGATAGCAACAACAATAGCAACAACATTAGAGTTACATCACATTTTTCTCTTGGATCTCAAGCTAGCTTACATAGGAATTCTTCCCTCACTTTATTTCCCACAGATCATAGAAGACAGGTTCAGCTGGGTAAGCAGAAGATAAATGCAATGTTGGCTGCAACCAACTTTGCAACTGAAACCATGGTTGGTTTGCTGCTGAGATGGCAACTGCATCAGATATTTTTGATTCTCTTTTGTTCAAATAATCTAGTGCAGCTTTTTTTTTTCCTTCCAGTCTTGAGAGTGTGTTGAAAGCAAGGGGGATCTAAACAATCTAGGATTCTTAGTTTGTATTAGTTTTGTCATATCCAAAGCCAGACTTTCCTATATCATCATCATCATCATCACAAAATAATGGAGCCAAATGCAATAAACCCTAGCTATGTTGCAGAATCAACATCCTGCTAGAGAAAACAAGTGGGTGTCATTCATAGATAGCTATTATCTTCCGCCAAACCATCCAAGATGGTTCTACCTCTCCGTGACAAGCTAACAGAGAAAACAGATGATTCAGATAAATTCAGCATACGATTGTATCTGAAGAGCCCTATTGAGCCATCAACCTAACCAAGACCAAATGTTGCCAATCTGCTGTGCTCCATGGTAGTTGGGGAAAAACGCAGTCACATGCGGAAAGCACCATTTTGGAGAATCCTGTCCAAGACTCGGACTCCTGCAAAGGCAGTTGGGATTCTGGATGCTGACCCGTGCTTTGGATTCCTGGATGGTTTGCAAAGCAACCCACTTGACTTACGGCTTCCTACAGATGTCACTTACTATTTTGGGAAGATACAAGGCAACCATTTTGCTATTGTTATTGTTCTTAAAGGGGATTTCCCTGATCATATAAACACAGAGCATTATTTCTTGACAATATTTCTAAATAAACTATGGGGATGGGGGAAGTATCTCTTGAGGTGTTTTTTCTGTTTCTGTAAGCAAACTATTATATGGGTATGACTTTCTCTTGATTGTACACTGGCGCTTATCACACGTCTTTTCTCCCAGACATAAATGTGAGCAGTTTGTCAGCCATTTTAGGTAACAGCATTTTTCATAGCTATAGTTAAAAGTGTTGCATCTATTTAAAAAAGAGGGCATGCTGTATCAGACTGAGCACATGTTTGTGGCTAATGTATGGAAAAGCAAAGATGACTCCTCTGTGTGTTCTTCTTTTCAAGACATGAACTCTGCCATGGTAACCATTTCAAGATTCCTAAGCTGTGAAACCAGGCCAAGTCATGTTGGGTCATCAAGAGATGCTCCATGACTTTGTTAATATTCTCCTTTATCTTGATCATTGCTTTATTTCCGTATCCTGGCATTGTTAACATTTTGCAGTTGTAATGCTATATTTCTGCTGGGTTAGAATGAATGGTTTTGCAGTGGCCTATCATTCCAGAAGACCTACATTATGTCTGGCTATAGTGCAAAATCAGAGAAGTAGTAGTGCCTAATATAAGCGGAGATTGGTGCACATTTAATTCATTAGCATGAAAAATTAGTTATGGCCTAGGTACTCGTACAGTTGTATGTATTCTGTGGAACTTTGCTACTTTCTTTGGAAGATCTAGAAGCTTGCTTGGCAATGCTGTAAGGTAATAGTTTGTTATAAGTTTACATCCAGCAATGAACAAGGTAGCAAAGCAGTAAGTGAATATCAGATAGTAGAAATTGGGAGAGCTTGAAAACAGCTTAGATGCTGTTCCAACAGGAGACAAAGTACAAATGAGTGTTTTGATGGTGTAGACCTGAGTTCTCCTGAAGTCCCTCAACTTGGAGAGAAGGACCTGAAAAGAAAGGGACTTCTTGAAACTTAGTAGTTTCATGGCAGTTAGAAATAGTTAAATAATTGTATGGCTTGGTCTAGCTCAAAAAGAGATTGTGCTGCCCATGTAGGCTGTGGGTTTTAGAGTTTGACATCACTTTCATGGAGATTGTGGTGGATGGTCCTTCACAGGTTGGGACTTCCACTGCTACTGTGTCAATGCATGTGGCCCATTTGGGGGATTCAGATTGGTGCTATTTTAGAGGAAGTCACCTCTGAAAGTTATGCTTATCACGCTGTGCCAATGGATCTTGCTCCCCCCTTGAAGATGACTGATTATTTAGGCTAATTATGTACATAATACATTTCCCACATTCGTTCATTATGGTTGCTGTCATTGTATTTTTTTCTCCAACCACAGATAGCATGCTGATGTCCATAGTCTTTGCTTTCAATTTAGTGCTTGCTCTCTCTTTTTCTCTCTCACTCTCTTTCTCAAACACACACATACACACCCCAAAGCAAGAAAAAAACCAGTTGTATTTGACAATAGAAATAGTGTTTTTTTCTTTACCACTGTATCATATCATTAAATTATTAATGATTTGTTTTCATTATTTTAATGAGGAGTGGAGATAAGCCAAGAAGGAGCTGAAGAAAAAAAAATCATGTGTAACAACATGGCCACAAAAATAAAACAAAACTCTAAAACAAAACAAGAAAAGACATGTCTGTAAATAGGTTGCTGGTTCCCACCAAGGATTCCTTCCCTGTAGTATTCATCTTTCTTCTGTGGTGATGGTATTCTTGATTTGTTTGCCTTGTTTATGTTTACCTAATTTATTCAATGGGTGCTATTTTGCATTCATATTGTTAATTTTCTTTGCTGCAAAGGAGTCAGGTTCCAAGATGACACATATCTCCTCACGGTTTTACATTTCTAAAGAGGCTTGGTGGCTGGGCCACTACAGCCCTGTTTTCCACAGACATCAGTTCTGCTTCCTTACAATGTTCCTGATGCTTAGAATAGATTCCTAGTGATGCATAACATGTCATTGGCAATTGTTAGCTCTAAACAGCTGCCCTCCAGAACTATGTATTGTTCTAATAAAAAGAATAGGTGGAGAACTACAAATTTCTGCTGCCTTTTGGATGTTTATTTGAGGAAATGTGTGTGTGTGTGTGTGTGTGTGTGTGCGTGTATGTGTGTGTGTTCAGATTTGAACAGGAAAGCTATAATACCAGCAATATTTACCAGAGCCACGGTGGCGCAGTGGTTAGAGTGCAGTACTGCAGGCTACTTCTGCTGATCACCAGCTGCCAGCAGTTTGGCAGATCGAATCTCACCAGGCTCAAGGTTGATTCAGCCTTCCATCCTTCCAAGGTGGGTAAAATGAGGACCCAGATTATTTGGGGCAATATGCTGACTCTGCAAACCGCTTAGAGAGGGCTGCAAAGCGGTATATAAGCCTAAGTGCTATTGCTAATATTCACAGCGGTTAAAAAGTCAAGATGGTGGCCACAACAGTTAGGGTTGCCAGGTCTGCTTCCAAAAAATAGCAGACAAGCGGGGGTGTGTGTGTGTGTGTGTGTGTGTTAAGTAGTAAAAAAATAAAAAAAAATTACAATTAAATTATATATTTTCTTACAAACATTTTAATACGTATTAAAATAATCAGTTCAAAACTTTACTTAAAATTCAAAACATCAAATATATTATAATAATATGTAAAATATTAAATTACATTTTAATTTCATCATAAAGCTTTTGAATAAAAAAATGTCCACTATTTTGTGGAAAAAAATAGTGAACATAATGTGAAAAAAGCGGACTGTCTGCTCAAATAGTGGACACCTGGCAACATTAACAACAGTGCAACCCCTCCTCTTTTTTGTACACAGCAGAAAAAGGTGGGGACTAGAATGTGCAGTTACAGCCATCATTTTGCCTTTTTTATTCTCCTCTATGGACACCCATGGAGCTGAAATTAGATTGGAAGCCCAGGTATATCCACGGATGCATCTAAATGGAGCCTATCCTCCCATGCCAGGAATGCAAATAAAAAGGAAAAAAAAAGTTTAAATATGGAGACCTAGGAATTAAAAGGAGTAAATCATGGAAAGGTCCTACAGCTTTGGGGCATTACACAGAACAACAAAGAAATTAAATATATTTTTATGAAAACTGATTATTTTGGTTATAGTTACAATATTTATTTATTTATTTATTGGTTCAATTTATATGCCGCCCTTCTCCGGAGACTCAGGGCGGCTTACAATGCGTTAAGCAATAGCCTTCATACTTTTGTGAATAATACTTATTTATCAATAATCTACCTTGCTGGGCAAATGTTGAATCTTATGATGTTACTTGAATATTTCTGAGGTTCCTGGCTGGAATCTGAATTTTCAAAGAGCATCTGTTAAATTAATATTCTTTTCAGTTCTTTACACTGTGTCATATTTGGTCTACCCAAATATGGAAAGGAGCATATTGCTTTCTTTCATCTTTCAGCGCCAATCCAGGGGCCCTCAGGCAGTCGCATTCACGACAAACTATTTTGTGTTAAATTTATATTTACTGACAAAGAAATAAAGGGAGTATAGTATAGATCTATTTCAAGCTATTTAGCTCTCATCAGCTATTTAGCTCTCATCAGCTAGCTATTTGGGTAGACCAGGTTGCTTCGATAGAAAACCCATTTAATCTCCCCTGGTACAAGCTGACAAAGCGAGGAGAACCTGTGGTTTAGAGGTTAATACATCTGCCTAACATGCAGGCAAGCCCAGGTTCGAATCCCTGAAGGGTATGGCTAGCTGATGAGAGCTAAATAGCTTGAAATAGATCTATACTAGTCTCCCTGTCAATGCGAATACTAATTTCCAAACATATAAAAGAAAAATAGGATGCTTATCTGTTTGCCAGAATTAACAGATGGATACAACCTACACCTCTAGGGCTCTATAACCACCCCCAAGCCCGTTCCCTTGGTGGACCCCCTCATCTGCTCCAAAGTTGCCACAAAATGGTAACGTTAATGTGTCAGAATAGAGAAATTATTAAACTCCCACCATGTCTACCCATACCAGTATCTCCTTGTTTCCCTCACGCATCATGTTGTCCTGACTTGCTGTGATGACTTCAGTTTCCTGGTCATTCTTAATGTATGAATATTGGGGCAAAATATGAGCTTGAGTGTACATTTGTGAGTGTACATATTTGGCACAAATCTTCACAATCCCAGGTACTTTCCCACCAAACTGAGAAATCCTCTTTATCTTTGGGGAAAATAGCAGAAATACCAAGAATCCTCAGAATCTCTCAGCTCATAAATAACATCTCAGAAAATAGTCTAAGTTACCTGCAGTAGGGCCTGAAAGAGGAAGCAATCATTTTATAAATCCAATAACTAATGTAATTAAACATTTTAAACCTCTAGAAAAATATCACAAAGAGCAAACTGGATGTCTCTTACATAACATATCTCTGCTGATACTGTACCGGGCATATTTTCTAAGGTCTAAGAGAAGAGGAGAAAACAACTCAGCAAGAGCCTGAGTGGCGCAGCAGACTAATGCTACTGTTAAAGATAGCATTTAGCTTCCAGCTGCTTGCAATTACTGCAAGTTCAATTCTCACCAGGCTCAAGGTTGACTCAGCCTTCCATCCTTTCTAAGGGAGGTAAAATGAGGACCCAGTTTGTGGGGGCAATAAGCTGACTTTGTATAAAATATACAAAAGTATGAAGGCTATTGCTTAACGCATTGTAAACTGCCCTGAGTCTCCGGAGAAGGGCGGCATATAAATAAATAAATTAAAAAAAAAACTTCTGTAAATTCTAGATGTATACTTTTGTGCGGATGTGTGGTGCCCAGTTAGTATTGTCCTCTGGTGATTGTCTGGGCAGTGGACATGTCCCTGCAGTTTTCTTTGTAAGATTTCAGAAGTGGTTTGTCCATACCTAGGGCTGACAGAAACTGAGCAGCCCAAGGCCACTCAGCTGGCTTTGTGCCTAAGGCAGGACTAGAACTTACGACTTTCCTGTTTCTAGCCTGAAGCCTTAACCGCTATGCCAAACTGGTTCTTCACATGAATACTTTAGCTGGTGTGTATTTAAGTTTTACCTGTGAGAACAGCCAGCGTCAAAATTTTATAACAGCAGATGTTTTTTTTTTTTGAATTGATAAACATCAAAATGAATAGGAAATAATATTTGGAGGCATCAATTGGCAATATTCAGTTCATTTCAATGGTCAACATGAACTCAGTGTTCTCCCATACAATTAAAAAATGCAGGCTCAAGAGAAATCTATAGGCCTGTTCATTTCACCCTGGCCCCATGTCTGGTTGCTTTCCACACGATGGCAGTGTAACCATGCCTTATTTATTAATTATTTATATGCGTGGTGTTCTGCAAAGAAGATGTTGCTTTCTTCCAAAGCTTTATACCATTTTTACTGCATTCCAAATAGAGCCCAGATTCACGTTATCACTCAAAACCATGGTTTACTTAGCTTTGGTTTATGGCATGAATTAAAATATGCTGAGTTTGTATTACTTGCAACAAGAAAGCCCATTAAATCACATTCTACCTTGGTCAACTGCTGGTTGGCATCTCATGGTACAGCAAGAGTATCAGATGAATACATAGAATTTTGTCCAGAATTCATTTTGTCAGATGCATTAATAATGTCTTCGGTTGGTAAATACACTTAATGCTTTCAGTTTCATAACGTTTCTAACAGTTCAGGGCATTCCTGCATATGTACATATCAGTGGTGGGTTCCAACTGGTGTTACCATCAGTTCTCTTCGCGCATGCGCTTTGCATGCGATCGCTGAACTTTCACTCTGTGCAAACGCATTAGATTTATGCCCAGCTGAGGCGCAGCAATCCACTCTGCCACGCCTATGAGCTGGGCTAAAAAACAACAAATAAAGGTAGGTATAACGCGGGGATGGGCGGGAGGGCCCAGCTCACAGTCAGAGAGAACTGGTTTGCTGACGTCACATCATCACCACTACCGGCTCTCATCTATCTATCTATCTATCTATCTATCTATCTATCTATCTATCTATCATCAGGAATGACTAGCACATATGTGTGAGGGGAACCTTTACTTTATATATACTGTACACACACACATGTACACGCACACACATGCATTCATGTTTTACACCTGATTAGTCAAGGAATTCCAGCTGGTGGGGTCCAGGAGAAAGGCCTTTTCTGCTGTGGCTCCTACCCTCTGGAGCATTGTGCCCTTCTAGGTGAGATCTGCCCCAGCCCCACCATCTTGGTCTTCCATAAGAGTCTCAAAACCTGACTCTGCCATTTGGCCCCTGGGTCCTGACAGGCGCATTCCATGCTGGGAGTGGTTAATGACTAGGAAGAAATCCCACCTCCACCCCCCATTGTACCCCATTTTAATTTATTTAATTTTTGTTCATTCTTATATTTATATTTCACTATTTTCTATGTTTGCTTTTATGTTGTTGTTAAGCTTCCCAGTCAGATGGGTGGCATATAAATTTAATAAATAACTAACCACTCAAATACATGATCACAGCAGCAATCTTCTCAGAATCTGGTTATCTTACACCCAGCTCTGTGGTAAAGGTAAAAGTTCCCCTCGCACCTCTGTGCTAGTCGTTCCTGACTCTAGAGGGCAGTGCTCATCTCCATTTCAAAACTGAAGAGCCAGCACTGTCCGAAGGCGTCTCCGTGGTCATGTGGCTGGCATGACTAAATGCCAAAGACACATGGAACGCTGTTACCTTCTCACCAAAGGTGGTCCCTATTTTTCTACTTGCATTTTTTACATGCTTTTGAACTGCTAGATTGGCAGAAGCTGGGACAAGTAACGGGAGCTCACCCTGTTACGCGGCACTAGGGATTCAAACCACTGAACTGCCGACCTTTCGATTGACAAACTCAGCATCTTAGCCACTGGGCCACCGCATCCCTCTATGAGCACCACCCAAATTACAGAGCTACCTTATCTGGCTTCTTTTGAAAAGAACTGTGTATTTTGTAGCATCATATTTATTCACAAACAATAAGTCATGTTTTAAGTAACTGCAAACCATGTCCTAAAACTGACTCTGCTTGGATTTTACAGGGACAGTTAGTAACAGGACAACTCTAGAGATTCAAGCTCTTCCTTTTTCTCATCTGGTACTCAGTAGCTATCAAGATGTACCCCTTGGTGAGCAACTATTAGCTCTGGCTTCTTATAGTTTTTTGTCTCCTACAGCCTTTCAAGCAGAGGGGACTGGCATTTTAAAGTACCAGGCCCAAGTAAAGATGTTCATATTAATCTTCAAAACTCAAGAGGTCTTCTCCTAGAACCACTTAACCCATACACTACTATAATACAGTCTCAGTGCCCAATATAATCAATATTCCTCAAAAATAGTCAAATTCCATGATTTTGAAAATATAATGCAGAACAGTATTCTCAGGTTTAACTTCAGAACATTTACTTATGGAGTTAACAATTCCTTGATCATACAGGTAGTCCTCAACTTATGACCACAGTTGGGACCAGTGGTGAAATCCAATTTTTTTTACTACTGGTTCTGTGAGTGTGGCTTGGTGGGCAGGGGAAGGTGGGCAGAAGGATACTGCAAAATCCCCATTCCCTCCCCACTCTGGGGCCAGCCAGATGTGGCATTTGCCGGTTTTCTGAACTACTCAAAATTTCTGCTACCGGTTCTCTGAACTGCTACAGGTTCTCCAGAACCTATCAAAACCTGCTGGATTTCACCTCCGATTGCGACCAGAACTTCCTTCCTAAGCAATGCAGTTATTAAGTGAGTCATGCCCAATTTTACCTTTTTTGTTGTGGTTGTTAAGAGAATCACACAGTCATTAAGCGAATCCAGCTTCCCCCATTGACTCTGTCAGAAGCGCTCTGCGAGGGTGGCAAATGATGATCACGTGACGACACCCCCCCGACACTGAAATCATTACAAATATATGCCAGTTACCAAGTAGCCACATTTTATCCCTCCATGCTGGCTCAGGAATTCTGGGAGTTGAAGTCCATAGGTTGTAAAGGTGCCCTAGCTGCCCAACCCAGCTCCAAAGTAACTGCTGAAGTGAAAGTTTTTTCAACTTCCCAGGGTTCTGATCCCCATATTTGCTGATGGCATCCATTCAAGTACGAACCAGGTCAGATCCAGTTTATTTCCAGTCATCACAAGATCAGCCAGATGATGCTACTTGGCAAGACTACTCACACTCTTCTTAGCAGGTTTTCCTCTGGCAATTAATTAAACATTGTATTTATCTCATTATGAGATAACTAACTGTTACTAAATTCTTTTATTACTTATACAACCAACCATTATCAACATTTCCAAAGGATAAAAAAGAGTATCTTGTAATACTTTAAAGAACAAAAAAATCACATGTGTCTACAAAAGCTTTTGTCCTTAGTTTAATGACTCTACAGACTTTGTTACATATTGTATCAGCCATTAACTGCAACTAAATTTTCATTATCCCTTACTTCTGCTTCTCCTGGCTCCTATATAGATACACATTATCCCTTCATTAAACCCCACAAATCAGTTCTATGCTCAGCTATGCCTTTATTCCCAGAAGTAATGCACGAAATGAAATGGTCCTAAATCTTTGCTTTCCAGTTTCTCCTCTGACTACATTTTCTGCATTTTGATGTCAGAGAAAACAGACAAAAAAGGATGGGGGCATATCATGAATTTTATGGCGAGCGTGACTGTCATGCCTGACATTTATAGTTTTTAAAAAGTTATCAGAGAGATGCTATCATCCTAGTAAAGCCTATAGGCGGTCTTGTAAATAAATAAAAGTGAGGGTTTTGCAACATTCCCAGTCCCCCCCCTTTTAAAAAGTTTTAGTTTACTTAAGTTTTAATGGCTTATTTTAAGGTCCTTGGGTCAGGATGCTTGGTAGGCAGGAATCTAGGAGGGCTCTGTGCCCATGGCCACCTTTCTGCCAGTCTCACAGTCTTTCTTTAAAAGGTAGGACACAAAAAGCATAAGCCAGAAGCAGTGGTGGGATTCAAATTTTTTTACTGCTGGTTCTGTGGGTGTAGCTTGGTAGCCATGGCAGGGGAAGGATACTGTAAATCTCCATTCCCACCCCACTCCAGGGGAAGGATACTGCAAAATCTCCATTCCCACCCCACTCCAGGGGAAGGATACTGCAAAATCTCCATTCCCACCCCACTCCAGGGGAAGGATACTATAAAATCCCCATTTCCTCCCAATCAGTTGGGACTCGGGAGGCAGAGAATAGATGGGGGTGGGGCCAGTCAGAGGTGGTATTTACCAGTTCTCCAAACTACTCAAAATTTCTGCAACCAGTTCTCCAGAACTGGTCAGAACCTGCTGAATCCCATCTCTGACCACAAGCCACATATGCTTTGTTGCATAGCTTTCGTGTCCCCCAGACAATGTATATTTACTTTGGGGGAGGGACGAAGGATCCCAAAACTCTAGCAAATTTTGTAGTGTAGGCTTAGTGGACATGCCAGACAGATCTTAAGATAGTCCCCTAGTCAACAGATGTTGAAAACCCCTGCCTAAAGGATTTTTATGGAGGTAAACTACTGCACGGTATACAGGTAGTCCTCAAGTTACAATCGCAATCGAGCCCAAAAATTATGTTGCTAAGTGAGAAATGACATTGAGTTTTGCCTTTTACGACTTTTCTTGCTACATTTGTGAAATGAATCAGCCCAGTGGTTCAATTAGTAACATGGTTGTTAAGTGAATCTGGTTTCCTCATGCTTCTCATCCAAGGAGCTTCTTCAGTTCTGACTGGATCCAGTCCAGTGGTGGGTTGCCCCCCCCATCGGGTTCGGACCGGTTCTATAGAACCGGTAGTACCGTGATGGCGAACCTATGGCACTCCTAGAGAGGCTCCTAGAGACTCCTAGAGAGGCTCCTAGAGACTCCTAGGGAGGTTCTGGAGGCTGGGGACAGCAAAAAAGGTCACTTCCTGTCCCACTGGGAGTTGGGAAATGGGCCCTTTCAGCCTCCATAGGGCCTCCAAGGGAGTGGGAAAGGCTGTTTTTGCCCTTCCCAGATAAATAGAGAGGATCTGGAACCAGGTAAGAAAGAAAAACGGGCCTACCAGGCTGTCATGTGCCAGGAGCGGGGGGGGTTGCACGCACATGCGTGTGGGCACATGCGCGCATGCCCCTCCCCCACCCCCTCTCCTGGCACGTGATGGCAAAAAGGTTAGCCATTACTGCGGTAGTACAACCGGCGGAAGGCTCCACAAACTGACCACGACGTCATCAGCAGAAGCTTCTGCACGTGCGGCCTGTAGCGAACTGGTAGTAAAGGTAGGTAGAACCCACCCCTGATCCAGTCAGAGCTGAAGAAGCTTCTTGGATGAGAAGCGACACGTCTTCAAAGAAAAACCAGAAAGTCCAATTGCCTCTTGAAAAAAAAGCACCTTTGGGAGCCTGAGTGGAGCAGCAGACTAATGCTACTGTTAAAGGTAGCATTTAGCTTCCAGCTGCCTGCAATTACTGCGAGTTCAATTCTCGCCAAGGCTCAAGGTTGACTCAGCCTTCGATCCTTTCTAAGGTAGGTCAAATGAGGACCCGGTTTGTGGGGGCAATAAGCTGACTTTGTATAAAATATACAAAAGTATGAAGGCTATTGATTAACGCCATGTAAGCCGCCCTGAGTCTCCGGAGAAGGGCGGCATATAAATCAACATAAAAAAAAAATAAAAAAACCCAGGACCTGGATGACTGAGAATCTCCCTAGAATAGACGACTACCTTGATGGTTCCTCTCTTTTCTCGTAACCTTCCTTTGCCCTTGAGGGAAAAAAAAACCGCTCTGTCTGAACTACACCTCGCCAGCAGGGCTTGCTCCTCATCCTCCTATTACCCAAGGCTACATTTCCTCCCGCCTTTTCCTTTCCAAACGCTTCTTCGGCTTCAGCTCTTCTGATTTCCGCTGTCACGTCTTCTCCCGGCGCTTTTCTTCCAGAACATGGCAAGAAGATCCTGCCAGCCTTCCCAATTCGGGCATACGCCAGGCTTCCAAAACGGGCCCCAGAAGCCCAGCTCTGGAGCCAGGAGAAAGCCAGACGGCTGAGCGCGCATCGGGCAGGCCGAATCACGCCCTCTTCAAGGCACCGAATCCACCTCCCGCTTTCCTTTACCGGCAGCCCAGCTCGCCTCGCCTCGCCCGTCCCTTCCCTTCCTCGCCCCACCCCGCGGGCAAGCAAAACTTCCCCATCCAACGGTGAGGAGGAGGCGGTGCCAGGCTCCGGACAGGCGTGGAACCCGACGAATGGCAGTCTATAAAAAAAGAGGGCTTTGGGTCTGCCCCTTTCCTGGAAGAAAACCCACTTCGGCTAAGTCCAGCTCGAAGAGAGGAGGAACGAGATCCCCCCGTCCTAGGATCGAGAGCAGGTAGAGTGTGGGTGTCTTGGCTCTTTAAGCACCGATCGGGCTCTTGTGTTTGCCCTGCCGTGGACTTTTTGGCTTGCGTGGACAAGGCGCAGGCAGGGTGGGTCTGGGGACACGCCCTGTGGCTCCTGGAACGCGGAAAGGCTTCGGGAGTAGTTACCTAGCATCGGAGCGCCAGAGGAAAGAGCCCCCGATCTCTCTGCGAAGTGCAGGTGGGGGGAGGAAGCCGGGAAGGAAGGGCTTCTCGGGCCCCCGACCCCAGCCCCCTTTCTCGCCCCGTCAATGGAAGAGGAAGGGAGGCTCTGCCCCAGGGATGAAATCTAATTTTTTCCCCCACTACAGGTTCTGTGGGCGAGGCTTGGTGGGCGTGGCAGGGGAAGGATACTGCAAAATCCCCATTCCCTCCCCACTCCTGGGGGGAAGGTTATTGCAAAATCTCCATTCCCACCCCACTCTGGGGCCAGCCAGAGGGGGTATTTGCTGGTTCTCTGAACTGCTCAAAATTTCCGCTACCGGTTCTCTAGAACCTGTCAGAACCTGCTGGATTTCACCCAGCTCTGCCCCCTTTCTACACTGCCTCCTCCTCCTCCTCCTCCTCCTCCAGGTGGAAGTCAGCGAGTAGGAAAGTCGCTGCGCAAAAAGTGACAGGTAAATAACGACCGTGCAACGCCCACAACCTCTGCAGGAAGAAAGTGAAAAACGCTCTTTGGCAATAGAAGCTAGTCCCTAAGGTGTTTGCTTTTGTCTTGGGTCAAAAGGTGGGAGCTGATGGGGTTGTGCTTTTTCCAACCAGGTTTGGTGGTTTAGTTTGAGCATATCTACCAAGTTCTGCCCTATATAGAAGAATGTGGTGAAATAAATTATGGCTTAGTGGCATTTGAGACCTCTGTTGTACTATTGCTCTAGGATTGGGGAGAACTGAGTTCAAATTCCCATCCGTTTATGGGGCAGTTCCTTGGCACATCAGATGTTATAGGTGTACACGGGTGAAATCCAGCAGGTTCTAACAGGTAGCAGAAATTTTGAGTAGTTAGGAGAACCGGCAAGTACCACCTCTGGCTGGTCCCAGAGTGGGGTGGGAATGGAGATTTTGCACTATCCTTCCCCTGCCACACCCACAGAACTGGTAGGGAAAAAAAATTGAATTTCACCCCTGGGTGTACAGTACAAAATGTGAAGGAAGAAATTACGTGCACCGCTTTTAGCTTCTGGAAGAGAGACATGTAAAGTAGAAATAGCTTTTGCCTAGGATTCAATCCAAAGTGGTGTTTTCCAGACAAATATCTTTGCTGGGAAATAAATCTCATTGAACCCAGTGAAAGGGACTTTTCTAACTCATTTTCTGGGTGAACGAATGCCCCAAATCATCAGTTAAGATGACCAGCCTACAGAGTTGTGAAGAATCAAAGTAAAGTTAAAACTAAGCAGGCTTGGTATGTTGTGTGAATGTTCTAAGGCAGTGTTTCTCAACCCTGCTCACCTTAACATGGAACGTTAACACTAGGCTGAATTCTGGGAGCTAAAGGCAAGATATCTTAAGGTGAGTTGAGAAAAGTTGAGAAAAACTGTTCGAGGCTTTGAAGTACTCAGCTTAATCTTCTTGTGTAGATATAACTGGTGATATGGGCTATATGGCTACATTCCCAATTGAATTGGGCAAAAAAAATGTTCTTTCTGAATATATAGCAATAGCACTTAGACTTATATACTGCTTTACAGTGCTTTTACAGCCCTCTCTGTGCGGTTTACAGTCAGTACTCTGTTTTCCCCAAAACAAGACATCCCCTGATAATAAGCCCTATTGGGCATTTGAGTGCATGGCAATAACGCCAAGCACTTATTTCAGGGTTCAAAAAACTATAAGACAGGATCTTATTTTTGGGAAAACACAGTATTTTGCCCCCAACAATCTGGGTCCTCATTTTGCCCACTTCGGAAGGATGGAAGGCTGAGTCAACCTGGAGCCTGGTGAGATTTGAACTGCCAAATTGCAGTCAGCTGGTAGTCAGCAGAAGTAGCCTGCAGGACTGCACTCTAACCACTATGCCACTTAGGCTCAGAGAGAACATACAGGTAGTCCTCAACTTACAACAGCTCATTTAGTGACCGTTCAAAGTTACAACAGCACTGTAAAATGTGATTTATGACAGTTTTTCATAGTTATGACCTTTGCAGCATCTCAATGATCATGTGATCAACATTCAGATAGTGGGCAACTGGGTCATATTTAGGACCTTTGTTGTGACCCAAGGTCATGTGATCACCTTTTATGACCTTCTGATAAGCAAAGTCAATGGGGAAGCCAGATTCACTTAACAACTGGTTTACTAACTTATGAACTGTAGTGATTCACTTAACAAATGTGGCAAAGAAGGTTGTAAAATGGGGCAAAACTCACTTAACAAATGTCTTACTTAAATACAGAAATTTTGGGCTCAGTTGTGGTCGCAAGTCAAGGACTACCTGTACTGTGTTTCTGCTGGGTTCCTTATGCCAGAGGCGGCCCTGATCCATAAACTGGTCAAACTAGTTATAATCTAAATTTTTCAAATCTAAAACTTCTGCTGGTTTTGTTGTATGTCATATATTTGCAAATCAGCTTTGAAATTGTTGGGTTGTTCTTCTTCCCCCAGTTTTTACATTTTTAGCAACTTTTATCATTACTGCTCATGGTAGTTGGAGATGAAGGGTGTTGTACAGTGGTGGGATTCAAATAATTTAACAACCGGTTCTCTGCCCTAATGATTTCTTCCAACAACCAATTCACCAAACTGCTCAGAAAGTCAACAACCGGTTCTCCCGAAGTGGTGTGAACTGGCTGAATCCCACCACCGGTCCTTCCCATTGCCACTCTCCTGTTTTCTCTCTCTTTTTTTTTTTTAATGAAAGATGATTCCTTGCAAGGAAATGCTTTTGGCTTGTAAAGTCTTTGTGGCTGCACAATTGTTAGCAGCACTTATCATTTTTATTAGCTAAGCTGTCCATATTAAAGTGATAGACTTTTTTAATACCATGAACATCTCAGGGAGCACAAATAAGTTAATTTTCTATTTAATCTAGGAGCAGATGGTTATAGAAATATTATGTATAAATAAATTATGGAGAAAATACCCCCACTAATGGTTAGGATTATTTGGAATGGCCTTTCTCAGGGAGAGAACAAGAGAGAGCTTTTTGTGTGTTTGGAACTGTATTCTTCACTGCAGCTGACTGTCTAAGGGGATCAATTTTATATTTAATCAGTCTGGCTTTTAGCCCAAAGTTATATAGCAGAGCTTCGGTGGTTGTACCCTGGAACCTAGTTCTACTGGGCATTGTACTAGCCATCTTCAAATAAGTTACAGGTAATAGTCTTCACAGCATTTATCTTCTTCGATACTGAACAAGGCAGTCTTTCTCAATGACAAGAGCCAGACAATAATTTCTAAGAGGTTTTGATAAAGACTTATCCCCATCGGTTCCCCAAAGTGAATACACACATTTATTTATTTATTTATTTATTTATTTATTTATTTATTTATTTATTTTTAAATTTGTATACCGCCCTTCTCCCTGAGGACTCAGGGCGGTGAACAGCCAAATAAAAACATAAACTACAAACATTAAAATACAATTTAAAAGATATATATAAATTTGGCCCCATGATTAAAAACAATAACAAACAATTAAAAACATTTTAAAAACTGTTAGGCCAGGCCGGCTTGCTGGAAAAAGAAGGTTTTAAGGGCACGGCGGAAGGCACCGAGGTCTTGGATTCTCCTTATCTCTGGGGGCAACTGATTCCAGAGGGTAGGTGCCCCCACAGAGAAGGCCCTCCCCCTGGAGGTCACCAGCCTACATTGTTTGGCTGATGGCACCCCGAGGAGGCCCTCTCTGTGGGAGCGCACCGGTCGATGGGAGGCCGTCGGTAGCAGCAGGCGGTCTCGAAGATACCCATTTGTTTCCCATCCTCTGTAATTCTTGGTTTAAAACTATTACAGGTATGAAATGAGGCTAAAAATGATTGTGGAATAATGGTGGAACTAGTAAGTATAGGGCAGACAGTGCTATTTTTCGCTTGGGCTGTATATGCTTCAAACATTATTTCAAAGAAGTGTTTCAGATTCACAAGTGCAGCACCTTTGCTATTCATTAAAACAGCCTGATATTTTTCAGGCTCCTCTGTGAGTCGGAGGGAGGAAATACTGCTGTTTTAACCAATGTTGCCACTGTTAAAACCGAGCACTTTTTTCCCCAAGTTCACACAGAAGCATGAAAAAAAAATCAGGCTGTTCTACTGAATACTAGAAAGGATCTTACTTCCAAATAATGTTTAAGTCTGCCAGTGATTATATTAAAAAGCTACAATAAAACATCAAGCTGCATATTGTACTGAAAGTTCTTCTTAAATTAATCATCTACTTAAATCTTCTCACAACCCACAGCCACTATTAACTCTGATCACCTGTTTTGTGTGCCTGGTCTTCTCTCTGTTGCTAACATCAGATAGAGAGAATTAAATCTCCCTGAGCTAAGGTGCAACAGTAGTTCAGTCAAAACACTTGCCAGTAAATAGTAGATTGAGTTTGGTAAAATTGTCCTCGGCAATTTAATTCTGCTGGTTCATATTGCAGATTCCTCAGCACATGAACTCAATTGGATAATGCTTAGATTTGTGCAAGTTGACAGGATAAATGTCTGATTTCCCTTCCATAACCACAACAAAAGCTAGAGTATTTTAAACACTGGAATGCTTTCAAAATGTACTTAAGGTTTTGCAAGACATTTCTCTCTCTCTTTTTTTTTCTTTCTTTCTTTTTTCAAAAATTAAGAACTCCATTTCAGTAAGCATGACAAATTTATAAAATGAAAGGTATTATCTGAAATGCAGTCTTCAGACAACCTTCTCCTTTAGCTGTGCCATCTGCATCCTCAGCCCCATTGTAATGGTTTCTTTTATTGAAAGAAAATCCATTTGGAGTTCAAACCATGCAGACTGATTCCATTGTCAGACCTGGAGACAA